ACAAGACACGACCCAAAACTGACCCAAGACACGACCATAACTGACCCAAGACACGACCATACCCAAAACTGACCCAAGACACGACTATACCCAAAACTGACCCAAGACACGACCATAACCAAAACTGACCCAAGAAGCGACCCAAAACTGACCTAAGACACGACCCAAAACTGACCCAAGACACGACCATACCCAAAACTGACCAAGACACGACTATACCCAAAACTCACCCAAGACACGACCCAAAACTGACCCAAGACACGACCATAACTGACCCAAGACACGACCATACCCAAAACTGACCCAAGACACGACCATACCCAAAACTGACCAAAGACACGACCCAAAACTGACCCAAGACACGACCATAACTGACCCAAGACACGACCATAACTGACCCAAGACACGACCATACCCAAAACTGACCAAAGACACGACCCAAAACTGACCGAAGACAAGACCAAAACTGACCCAAGACACGACTATACCCAAAACTGACCAAATACACGATCATACCCAAAACTGACACAAGACACGACCCAAAACTGACCCAAGACACGACCATAACTGACCCAAGACACGACTATACCCAAAACTGACCCAAGACACTACTATACCCAAAACTGACCCAAGACACGACCATAACCAAAACTGACCCAAGACTCGACCATACCCAAAACTGACCAAGACACGACCATACCCAAAACTGACCCAAGACACCACCATACCCAAACTGACCCAAGACACGACCATACCAAAACTGACCAAGACACGACCATACCCAAAACTGACCCAAGACACGACTATACCCAAAACTGACCCAAGACACGACTATACCCAAAACTGACCCACGACACGACCCAAAACTGACCCAAGACACGACCATAACTGACCCAAGACAGGACCATTCCCAAAACTGACCCAAGACACGACCATACCCAAAACTGACCCAAGACACGACCATACCAAAAACTGACCCAAGACACGACCATACCAAAAACTGACCCAAGACACGACCATGCCCAAAACTGACCCAAGACACGACCATACCCAAAACTGACCCAAGACACGACTATACCCAAAACTGACCCAAGACACGACCATAACTGACCCAAGACAGGACCATACCCAAAACTGACCCAAGACACGACCATACCCAAAACTGACCCAAGACACGACCATACCAAAAACTGACCCAAGACACGACCATGCCCAAAACTGACCCAAGACACGACCATACCCAAAACTGACCCAAGACACGACCATGCCCAAAACTGACCCAATACAAAATCAAAACAGACCCAAGACACCACCATACCCAAAACTGACCCAAGACGCGACCCAAAACTGACCCAAGACGCGACCCAAAACTGATCCAAGACACGACCATACTCAAAGCTGATCCAAGATCATTGCCTAAATAAGGCATACGAGTTCTAAGCCTAGTGTTTACTTTATGATATGGTGTGGTCTAGAGCGCTCTGTTAACCCATAAGTATCTAGTTCTGTTCACGGGTTTGACGTCCCCGAGCCCATCTAGCTCAAATGGGTACCTCGCATAAATCTGTGAAAGGGAAGGCCGCAAGACATATCTCTGGCTACACTATCCAAGTCAAACAACGTTGGTAGAGAAATGTCTACCTCCTCCACCGAAATGCCAGTGTGTGCGTAATTTTTTCTGTGAAATTATAATATAACTTATGAGCATTGGGGGGGGGGGGGGATGGTTTACAATATGTTATAGGTATACATTTTTAGAAATGTCATGCTATAGGTGCAAAGTGTTAGTAAAACTGTAATGCTCCTATTTTAATATTATACTTTTTTTTTACAGAAATTGATATCATACTTACCTACACTACATTACTTATCCATATTGTCAGATTGTATCCATTTTAACAATGTGTATAGGTCTAAATTGCCACATTGGCCGAAATTCAGTGTCAAGTCAAAAAATCATTCAATTTCTTGTAAAGCATCATTGAACTTTAATCTGCTTTGTTGGGAAGGATGGGAATCCGGTAACTCCCCAAACAGTAACCAATCACCATGGTTACCGTGTCTTTCGGTACGTCCAAAGTACTTGGCCAAATGAAGCCATCGCCGTATGCTAATGAGCGTCCTCAGTCGTCTCCACAAGTCACTTGACCTACCAGAGCCGGGGATGTGTAACCCGACCCCCGGGGCTTCACAGCCGTGGGAAACAGGAGAAGCAACTCAACATCGGCTGGCAGGTTTTTTTGCTAATTTAATTAATTATTAATTAATCTTTATTAACTTTGTTTCCTATTGTGCACGTGTTAAGAGTTTATACTTGGCCTAATTCCTCATAAAAAACATGTCCTTTTTTTCCTGTTTTTTAAACAACTTTTTACCGACATGCCATTACGTAATTAAGATGCTCTTTTTCTCTCCCTTTTTTAGGCAATTAGCCTAAATTTCGTGTCGTCTCTTTACAAGACCCATCGTCACCATCCTTGATTTTGTTAATAGCTTCAGCCTCCGTCGGCAACTGAACTCTATGCTAATAGAATTAGAAACAACTCACCGAAAAGATCTACATTGAATAGAAACAAACACCTAGCCAATAAAGATCTACAATGAATAGGAAAAAAAATACATTTTTGTACTGCAATATTTCAATTGTCCGCATAGTATAATGTTGCTATTGTACCGTGTATATTTATGAGAATTTATGGTTCAATCCAGAGTGGTGGATTATAGGCCTACTGGTTCTGATGCTCAACTAATTAACTCCAAGTAATTTATAGTTAGCGTGTACGGCCTATTGCTAAGAATTTTGACTTTTAAAAACTTGCTAGACTTGGATAGTAACCACCATTACAGTCTGTCTTATGACTTTATTTAACTAAGGTCTTATGTATTTGTGATTTTTTTTAAATTTCGCATACCGGTACCGTGAATGGAGGCGAGCGAGTTGACGAGATTCCTTCCATAATGTTGTTGTCATGGAATAAAAACGTGTTTTTTTAGATTTAGACCGTAAAAAAAAATAAAAAATAAAAACTTAAGCCTAAAATTAATTTAGAAATTTTATATTCTTAGAATAAATGCTAAAAAAGTTGCATATCCAGAGAACTTGAAAATAATTTGTTGAGTTTAAGGCTACATTTCTATTTATTTTCATCAAGCCTAAGTTATAACCGGATGTTTCACTTTCGTAAGACAAATATTGATTGGCTGTACAGTAACTTAGTGATCGATAACTATTTGTTTACAAAACTTTGCAGATCAAGTTTTTAAATAACAATGCAAATTTAAAACCCCATGACCAAGTTTTCTATTTTTAGCTTACAATGTGTACAATAAAATCTATGGCAGCCTATCCAATAGCAGGATGCCATGTTTATGTCGCCATTACACGTGAAAACCAAATTGTTTTTGCTTTTTTTTTAAATTTTTATTTAGTTACCGAAAATATTATAAACATCAAATACATCCAATCTTTAGTAAAGTCCGAAAAAAACCAGACAGGCAGGATTTTATAACCATATTAATTGTAAATACGCTGTGCATGATTTTTTAATGAATTTATACACCTCTCAAATACCTTTGAGACTTTTCTCGCTGGTGTCCATTGCTGCTTGAAGCTAAACGACAATAGCTAATAGATGCCTAAAATTACCACCCACCCATTTCTTTAATGGAGATTGGTGAGATGAAACTATCGTTAGTCAGGCTACAATATCAAGTGTTCGTTTGTAGTGAGAGATTACGACCGCCCCGTAAATCATCACTAAATCCGTCCGGTTTCGTTTGGTCTACGGAAAATGGCGAATGCACTCAGTACTGATCAGACAGTACCTACTGTGATCGGCAGACTGAGTTGAGTTCAGCTTCCATATTGGCCGTGGTAGAGTATATCCGATTTAAAACACAACACAGTGTGAAACACCCCAGATAAAACTATAACCGGGAAGTACATAATGAAACAACTTGGAATGGCTCAGATAATAAATCAGTCTAGAAAGACCGCGATATTACAACAATTTGGAATTACCCAGAGAATAAAACAACCGTGAATGACCAGAGGAGTAGCGAGGGGGGGGGGGGTACATATGTCCCCGGGCGCCGACCTTAGAGCGCCTAAATGGGTTGTAAAAACAAATTAAAATCCTATTTTAGCTGGAGTTTTGCATTATAAATATTTTTAAAAATATATGGGGGGGGGGTGCAAATTGAAAGTTTGAGGGGGGAAGGGGTGCAAATTGAAAGTTTGAGGGGGGAAGGGGTGCAAATTGAAAGTTTAAGGGGGGGGGGGGGTATGCAAATTGAAAGTTTGAGGTGGGGGTGCAAATTGAAAGTTTGAGGGAGGATGCAAATTGAAAATTGAAAGGCTGTTCCCGAGAAGGCGCCAAATTGAAAGTTTGTCCCCGGGCGCCGGGAAGGGTCGCTACGCCTCTGCGAATGACCCACATAAAATCAACAACATTGGCGAGACACAAAGGTTATCCAAGCTATTACACAGCTATTATTAAAACTAGATCAGCAATTTTATATATTTTTTTATTAATGGCATTTTAAATGTTTCATATATTTATGTTCTAAAAATGAACCCTCTAGTGTGTGTGTTCCGCTTTAATTCTTCCGGTACAAACACGAGAATTAAACTTCCCGTGTATTGCAGGATATATAATTACATGGTGTTTGAACTTTTGATATAATCACAAAGATTAAAGGGGTAGAAGTGACTTTAAAATTTTAAGATCGTCCGTCCTTCCGTAGTAAATCATGCTTAGGGTTGTTGCATATTTTGTTGACTTTTATAAAACACACCACACCCACTAACCCACAACACGCTCACCAACACACACTAACCCACAACAACACGCACACCAACACACACAAACCCACACCAACACACACACCAATACACACACCAAGACACAGTAACCCACAACACACCAACACACTAACCAACATCATACACACATTAAGACACACTAACCCACAACACACACTAACCCACAACACACACACACACACCAATACACACACCAACAGAAACCAAAACATACAAACACTTAATTAAAAGGCATTGTAATTTATAGTTTTTAATCGCTATGACTAAGTCACAAGATATGGAATTTAAATAAAATTAACATGTTAATAAATTATGTACACAATCAGCACACAATAATTACAGCCATAGCTAGCTTATTACAGCTATACTGACATTACATCACGCCCATTATACCCTGCACCAAAAATCACAGTCCTCTTCACTTCAACATTTTTACACCAACATGAAGATTACATGATTGCTGGGCTGACATTTCCACAACACGTCCATTTAACAAGGCAGTTGAGTAATGTTCAACGAACCAAAAAAAATTCGTAATAAGGGGAGGGTGTGGGAATGTGTAGGGGGTGGGGTAGTGTGTGTGGGGAGGGGGGGTAGATTGTGTGACAGATAAATGTGTTGTTTCTGCAACCACAGCACTGGGGATATTAAAGCAAACGTTGTTCAAATTACTCGAATGTTTCTGGCGTAAACGAGCGCTGATTTTTTTTCCTCAGGCGCGACACGCTCACGTGCATCTGGCTGTCACCCGCTTTCCTACACACGTGATCCAATGTGTCCACCCATTTCTTGAAACAGTTTTATCGGACTGCATTGTTCGTCGACATCAAACAAATATCTGTGTCCCATTTTTGTATTGACGCCAATTTTCTATTAGCTTACACGGAAATCTTGTGTTTAGAATTCGTTCTTTCTCTTTCAACTTATTCTATAGTTTAGAGTCGTTTTAGTGGAAATTCGATAAATACGTTTAAATAGTTCAGTATAAGAATTGATCGGAGCTAGAATCACTTTCATTGCTGGAATCGCTCAAATCCGAGACGGTTCGAGGCTCGAGAACAAAGTAATGTGTGCAGGTTTCGTTTTCTTCGTCCAGCCCCGTGTCATCAAGTCCTACAGGGTCCTCAAGTCCTGCCTGGAAGTGCTCATCTTCCAGACTTTCCGTTGTGGTAGCACCGTCGTGGTTTGTATGAACCGACACCTCAGCGCCTCCTAGTTCGTTCTCGTCTTCACAGACTTGCACACCAGGTGTCGCTGAAAGTTTTATTTTATCAATGAATTCTTCCGAAATGGACCGCTGATTAATGTGGTTATCTTTGCATGACTGAGTAGCATGACGCTCTGGGCTGAGGGGTAGGGGCCGGCCTGCGTACTTGGCCAGGGATGTTTGTGACGGGCTTTGGTGAAACCGTCTGTCTCTGACGCTAGCTGTCACGTATCTTGGTGCCTTTTTGGCGTGCCCGCATTTTTCAGACTCCGACCTGCACAACGCACTCCGTGAACTCGGGACAGGCGGGAGAGGTCCTAACTTCTTCAGAATGTCCTCTGTCTCAGGTCCGCTAGCTGGACACGGCGGGGAGTTCCCCGGTGAGTTTGGCGGGACTTCTCCGTTACTGGAGTCGCTTCGTCGCCGGCGGTTCATACACGACTCGCGTGCCGCCGTAAGCTCCGAGGAAGCCCCGCGGAAACTTTCCGACTTTTTAGCAAAAAGTATCGGATTTCTTTTTGAATGGGAACGCGGGAAATGTTCATAATTGGAAACTTTAGATTTGGGACTGGAAACTTTTGACTGATAATCACCCCTGTTTGTGTTTTCGTTTATTTTCGGGACTTTGTTGTTCTCCACCGGTTCTAGAGTGATGTTTGGTGTGGCTAACTTCTGGACGTCGACTTCCGTCTCAGAGACGACTTGCAGACGAGCGTTCTGTAGCATGGACGGCAGGTTGCCTGTGTGGTCGGACGACAGGCTCTGTAGGTTGACGTAGTAGTACACGGTTTCAGCCTGCCGCGAACTCTCGTCCTCGTCCGAGATGTGAAATAAGGTCAGCTGGCAGAGAATTTTATCCCGGCCGCCTCGTTCTGGGAGATGCGGGACGGTCGTGGAGCAGACGGACATCGTCTCCGCGTCACTGACCACACCGGAGTCCTTCTCGTACTTGCAGTGGTGGGGCAGCGTGTTGGTCAAGCTGTCCGCGACATTTTGTCCCGGGCTGTCGCTGGGCTGTTCCTGCATGCACTTGACCCCCTTGAAAGAGTTATTCAATGTCCAGTATCTGTCCAGGGTCTCGTAGATCCCCTCCTCTTCTTCCTTGCTTGATTTGGAAGATTTCTCGCTGCAGTCATCTTTAGCCGAGAATTTCCGGTCAAATTTGCTCCAGTCGTGTCTGGTGCACTTGGGCGAGTTCGGGGCCAGCAGGTAGCTCAAGTTGTTGCCGGCAGTGACCGGTTCGCCGGAAATGGGGGTGGAGAAGACGTTGCTAAGCTTGTTGAGGGTCACCTGGGACTGACTAACGAGGATACAGTTAGAGTTGAGTCTGTCTTGACGGCGGGACTTGTCGTTCTGTCTTCCTTTCACCTTCACCTGGGATATTTAAAAAACAACTTTATTAAATAAATAAACAAACGAATCAAATCAGTTTCTCCAACATCCAGAGCTGAAAATGTTTTCTAACGAGTTATGGGAAAGCCAGCCGTTTTAAAATAACTATCTCTAATACATACATTAGTTTACAGAGGAGTTAGGTCTTATTTTTAATAATGAAAACAATAATTATAATTTTTAGATTTGCAACTGACCTGATCAATGACGTCATAGATCCCATACTCCGAGGTGTCGTGTGACGATTCAATGGTGTGAATACTCCTCCCTCTTCGCCGCTGAAACGGCCTGAGAAAAAATAACAATAATTATATTTTCTGTTCACTGTCTCATACTACGGCTTTAAAACACACGTGTTTACCCCTTGATTTACGATAAATTAACGTCCCGGTGTTCAAATGCGCTCTATTCCCATGAATGTTGTGTTAAATAACGTTAGAGCTGAAGAAACAAGACCACTGGGAAATTTTATTAAATGTTACGATAAAAACATTAGGATAGAAATGCATCGAGCAAGGGCAATTTTGCAACGCGTTACATTGAAAATCAAACTGACATATAACATTATTGTATAGCAAAGCTTGGTAAATGGAGTTTTAGTTTAAATTAACAGAAAAAAAGTTAATAATACTGAATTATTATAAAGACGAAGATAGTATAAAAAAAATTTTAAAGAAGAAAAAAATGTCATATGGGATAGACTTAAGGAATATTCTAAATTTTCTTTTAAATTTTATTGCGGAAACCAACCCCCCACCCACTTCTTCCTCACCCTCAACTTTTTCTATTTTTAATGCATATTTGTCAGATTTTATCAAAGGGCTGGAACTATATTTTCTAAGCGTAGTGATGTAATTAACGAATAGATCTGTTGTGATAGTGTTCGGTACTTTCAAGTCTCGTCTGTCTAGAGACGAACCACCCCCTCTCGAACACTTTCGTCATTTGAATCGACCAAAGGGCGACGGTCGGTCCTGGCGAGGGCGTTAACTTGAAGCAATTACAGCAAGATAATGACGCCTACCAATTAAACCAAGATAATGACACCTACTTAGAACCAACGACGACGTACTGGCCAGAAAATGATGTTAATTAAGATTCTAATACGATATATGTTTTAATGAGGGTCGCAACATGGGGATTTTCCTATCAGAAAATTTTACCAAACTGAATCACTAAAGTGATTGCATGACAATGTTATTTAACTCAAATAAAAAAAAATATTTTAGTACAATCTTCATTTATGCTTTCTAATTGTTTCGTATTTCAAAAACTTACTTCGCTTTTTTCTTAATAAGACAGCAGGCAATGACGATGACGACCACGGCGATAAAAGCAGCACACAGAACCGGAAGTAGTACTTGACTTAATCTGAAGTTTTTCCATGGGGAGAGTTCCATACTGCAAGCAGAAATTTAAATATTCTAAAATTTCTGTATAAACATTTATATACGCTACACTTTTATATCCTATTTTTTATATTGCTAGCACTGTTTCGATTACAAACTACATGAGTTTTAGTGTAAAATTTATCCAAAGTATTTCAGTAAAAAAAAATGTATGTTGAAAGTTTGTAAAAAAATTTAATTTTTTTTCGCGTGGTATGTTATTTTCAAGTGACTCCACGTTACGGTGACCTACCTGAGGTCATCATTACTCTCCTCTGTTGCAGTCTGCGGTGACGTACCCGAGTTGCCGGTAATTAGAATACCCCCAACTGTAGCCTGGGCATTACGGTCCTCCATGGCATCCTATAGACCTCCTGGTATAGTCAGTTCAAGACACAGTAGCAGGTAGCAGCGTCTGGGCGTGATGTGACTAGCTGTTATGGCCAGTCATGTACTGTAGCCCAGCATTTATAACCCACCCACAAAGAAGTGGCTGTTGGGGAAATTTTTTTGTTACGTTGCCAAGCAGACTTCAAACAGACGGAACAATAAGCGCTGTATCAAAACATTGCAGGCAGAATTAATTAATGCCCAATTAACGGCTGTAAGTCTAAGTGGCGGCTAACACTAAGACAGCGAGCGGGGACGCGATTGACTTGTGGAACCACCTCTGAAGAGTGCAGATTTGGCGCGAGCCTGCCGATCGAGTGGTCAGGAGAGGGCCTTTCCGGACAAGATGTGCGCGCCACGGTGTGAGGCTGGCAGATAGCGGGACCTCTGATCTCACACAGTCTTTGTTTTTCTACTGCTTTGTGCAGCGCTGCAGTAAACATTCCGAAATTCGTAATCTGTGTCTGAATTTTTTGTTTAATTTTAAATTTATAAAGCTAATCAATACAATTAAAAACAAGATTTTGAAATTTATAAGATTTCTGCTTTATTAATTTTTAGTAAAGTATTTAAATATAGTAATAATTATTTTTAAAACAACAATAACAAGTCCCACACTAAAGGATTTTACAGACTAACTTAACGCAATGTCTGGCTCAATGCTATACCGTCAGGATAAGTTCTTAATTTGCACTCACAGAAATCCGATCCGTAATTGCCCGTTTTTCTTTATTATTTATAGACTTTTGGTGACAATCTTTCGTCCGTTGTCTGCCCGTCTTCCCCAGCCGGAGTCGTCCGGTCTAGGGATATCGTCTGCAGGGTTCATATTGTAATCTGCCGGTCGTCTCGGGTCGTCTGCTGGCTTTATTTTGGTGGCGTCTCAGCTGGCTCTTCCTGCACCTTTTGGAGAGTGGGTCAGGAGTTACGGGGTTGGGGTCAGTTTCACAAGGCTGCGTCATTCGTAGAATAGAACATGGAAATAGAGTTAGATCGTATCGAAACGAATCAGGAAATGTGAACTGAATGGAAAACTAGGCTTCGCTGTTGTTGTTTGTTTTGTTTCCGTGTGAATAAGTCCCAGATGTTTAATTATATTTATGAATGGCGATGATCACAGTCGTGCTGTTACTTTTGCAATATTTTTTTTCTCTTTATGATATAATATTTTTTTTTCTTTTACAAAAATCAGATCTACAACTCATTATTTTTTAATATTTTTTCTTTTTTTCGAATAGCTCAGTTATAAATTATTATTTTTTTTATGATTTACATCAAAATCTTGTCTGTCCTACACCTGCAGCTACACCTACATTGGGAGCCGGACGTTTTCCCGAAAGACGCTTGCCTGAATGCCGTTTACCCGAAGGCCGATTTCCCGAATGAGACAAATGCCATTTGCCCTAAGGCCGTTTGACCGAAAAATGTAAATAATAAATAGAAGATTATATTACCAAATAGACATTCTTTATCAATTCAAGTTTGTTAATCACACCAATACCCATACATACAAATTATACACATAAACATACGCATTTTATTCGGGTTCCTTTTACATTAAATACACACATTTATGTGTATGCAAGCCCACATTATCCTTTTGCTATCTACAGTTATCGCCGTGTCTTTCTATATAAATAATAATTTGATATATTGTAATAAAATAGCATTTGTAACAAACGTAATGATTTTTTTCAATACTATAAGCTTTCCTTTAAAGACAGCCGTATTTTTTTTAAATTATTATAGTTGACAATGAAATCCAACACGTGCTAACACTAGAGTACTCAGCAGCATTCACTGCACTCAAGTTTCAGCATACTTTTTCTTACTTCTCTTTTACAATTTCATATTTTCAAACTGTGAAAATGACAGTAGCACTCACATTAAAAATTTTGGTAGATGAGAATAAAAAAAAACAAGTTAATAAAAAGTCTAGTGACAATTTAAGCGCAATTTCCTTAATTAATTTTTTGTGACCGAACGAAAGGATATTTTTGAAAACTTTCTTTGGCAATATTGTTCTAAATTATGGCAGGAATCGATTGGTAAATGTTTCAAGTCGCTAAGTGGTCTGGTTGCCGAGATATGGGCCAAAAACTGCATTTTTTTGGGAGGTTTTTTAGCTTTTCCGGGAAGTCCAGGAAGGAATTCCGGGAATTTTTTTGGCCCACAATCATCCTCGGAACTTGCTTAACATATTTGCTTTGGAACTAGTCCTCGATATTGCTTCGTTGAGGAGGAGATACGAATTAAAGCTGCGGACACACATCCATCCATCACCAGAAATGACGAGTTAATAATCGCAATTGTCCGTATGGAAATTGCGCTAATCATCTGGACCTATTGGGGTCAATTTTTTTCTATCATGTCTATAATGTTGCTGATAGTCTGGTTACTTGAGCATGGATGCGAGTTCGCAATGTAACATTTTTAATCTGCTGATTCTGTTTTCAAATTCTCGTCAAACCGGCTTAGTCCTAACTCCAATCCTTATCATAGACCAAACTAGATGACTGTTAGGAGACCCGCGACCATCCTTCAAAACCACAACATACACAGGCATTGGAATTAGGCCTACTAACTGCTTATCAGTATAGAGAAAATTATAACATTAGTTATTGAAAATAAAAGTAATAATTAGGTCTTATGTCATTTCAAATCATTTTGTTTGATAATTCATTTTTTTTTAAATTAAATCTACTGTTTGCACCATATTAAAGTCTCCAGATCTACAAATAAGAGAATGACCTCCCCTTTAAAAATTACCGAGTGATCTTGACTATTTTTGTTGATTGCGAAATCAATTCACATTACGAAATTACCTATCACTTTTTTAACACGTTTTTATTAACTCAGCTTCGCGTGGATGTGTTTGTTGTTAAAATTGACATCGAAAATTAGCCCACTTCTGATTGCTCTATAGATCTGAAATTTGGCATGCAGGTTACTTTCGCCTAACAATTTCAGATGCAATCATAAAAACTAGCAATTAGAGACCGTAATTAGCTTAATTTAATTACGCCCAAAGGACCATAAAATTGAGGACATGATTTCTAAAGATACCGACAAGACTGGAGGCTTGTTGACACAGTTACTTCGGCCCCAATCGATGTGAGCGCGCTGGCCGTGATCGTATAGTGGTTAGTACTTCGCGTTGTGGCCGCGACAACCCAGGTTCGAATCCTGGTCGCTCAAGATTTTTTTAGTCCGTGTATTTATAAACACTTAGTCAATTCATACTTAATCAAGTCATTAGATAAAGTAGAAAATAAACTATATAAAAAACTTTTTTTAAAAACACGTTTTTCATGTGTAGCAACGGACTAAAAAGGAGAAAATAAAATACTTAAAAAAAACTTTTTAAAAAACCACGTTTTTCTTGTGGACTAAAAAGTAGAAAATAACTATTTACATACATTTGATGACAAAAAACGTGGGTCGGGCAGATGGGTCGAGAAATTTGATGGTGAACGTACCCACGTTTTTTGTCATCAAATGTATGTAAATAGTTATTTTCTACTTTTTAGTCCACAAGAAAAACGTGGTTTTTTAAAAAGTTTTTTTTAAGTATTTTATTTAAAGTAATCTTTAAATTAATTTTTATGACTAATATGATGTCTAATTAGATTAAAAATAGATATACTTGTATTGCCTTAGAAGCAGAAAGTAATATGAAAGTTTAATGTTGTCGATGCATTAGAACGGGGTCAAAATTGGATTACAAACCCACACATAAACGGAAGTTGCGAACTAATTAAAAGCTTGTAAGAAAAAAAATCATGTCCGACTCCTAAAAATCAAACAACTGCTGCGCTGCAGATTGTTCTTATGTGGACAAAGGGCCTTGTAACCAAATCCAGTAGACACGCTTTAATCGGAATCATCGGACCATCAGAATGTAATCACTAGCACTTCAAAACACTTGACTTTTATTAAATAATTTAGTTAATATTGACTTTTTAAACTAAGATTTTTACATTTTCATTGTTCATTAAACAATTTGTTAAAATTGACTTTTTAAACTAAGATTTTTACTTTTTCATTAGGAATTGACGAAAGAAAAAATGTGATGTTTGGCACTTGGTTGATTAGAGCAATGACTAGGATAGACTTTATGCTGCATGCTGCAGATCTACCCTTGATGTCGCCGCTTTAATCTGTTGTCTGGCACCAATCGCATCGACCTGATTACGCTATTGATTGGAGTCTAAACCTTTAGATGGAGCTAGAATAGTGTCACTTCAAACTACAAAATTACAATTCAGTATTTGAAAAATGTTGAGAACTATCATTACATAAACGACACAAGTTCTGGAAAAAATTGCTAGTAACATTAAAAAAACCAACGGCAAAACTTAAATTAAGTAAAAAGTAATTAGCTGCAATGTTAAAAAGCACACATTACAGCAAAAAAAAAAAATAAATAAATAAATAAAAATAACAGTGTTTTACGAAATTATATTACCCCCATTAAGTTCCCTCGAACATTTCCCCCCTCGTCATAACATTTTAGAGGTTTATCTGCATTTTTTATTGTTGTATGTGTTAAAAGTTTTTTTATTACTTAAAACTGTCCTGACACATGAGTTTGAATTTGAGAGTTTAAACCATGAATTGATTATAGTCGTATATTTTGTTAACATAAAAAATGATTTTTTAAACACTGGGTTATATTAGTTATATGCAAAAAAATAAAAATGAATTATTCAAAGCGTTCTGTTACGCTTTCTCGTGCATCTGACAGCTTCACTTAATGATCTAGAATTTAATCTAGATTGAGGTGTCTTTGGAAAAACTAAGAAGGTTTTTGTGGGCTCATTATGGGTGACGTAGAACCCATTTCTCTGCCCTGGGGATCATCTATTTTAGTATTTTAAGACAACAAGATGGTGGAGGAAAGAAGAATTCGATGATTATGGACTACGTACACGGAGCAAGTCATTAGGCCCACCCCTCAACACTTGCACCCACAGCACATAGATTAGGCCAAGACGTTACCTTGCTGTCAGTTATACATTGAGCTCAATCTTAACTGTGTGTTGATTGTTAGTGCCACGTTTTCTATATTTTGCAGGTTCACCTTATGATATTTCATAGAATGCCTATGAAGAAGAAACAATCTGCAGGCCTTTGTCAAGGTGTTCACTCAGATCTATATGGGTTGGTGGGATGAAGTGGTCGAATGGTAAACCATTTGGCTGCTTGCCCGAAACTCTTAGTCTTAAACTCGGACATGTGACTTTAAGACGTCTGTGAGTCCACTCAGCTCTGATGGGTACCTGACTCACGTTGGGGAAGATAAAGGTGGCTGGGCAAACTGCTGACCACACGATCTCTTCATATCGAGGTCAAAATACATAAACTCTACTTCTTCTGCTTAATGGATCGCTAGGCCTAAAGAGGAATCTTTTTTTTTTTTTACTGTATAATTTGAGTAGAGAGACAAGGGGGATATGACAAGGATTAATTTCATCAGGGGCAATGACGTGGGGGGGGGGGGGGGGGGAAGTATGGATGCATTGCAAAGCAAAGTTCGACAACCACCTGGTGAGCTGAACCTCACAGTTTTCATTTCTCCTCTCCCCTCCCATTCCCTCTAAGACAATTCATCATCATGTGGTAAAATTTTGTTCATGCCATCCAACATTTGAATATAATTCTGTTCATAATGAATTGTGTAACGTAAAAATGTTTTGAGTACAGTTCAATGAAGGAGACAAATCAATTTAAAAATTAAGATGAAAAAAACTGATTCAGCCATAACTTTTTTTCTAATTGTCCTACAGGCATAAAATTGGTATCCACGTTCTTAGAATTATTAGTACTGTGCAGAAAAACCAAAGCCATTATTGTGTGACTAATTTGAAAATTAGAGTACCCACTGATTGAGTAGGCGAATTATTTAGACAGAATTAACTATAGAAATATTAATATTAAGCTAATAATCAGGATAATTACATAAATAAACAGAAGGCAGAGGGCATTATGAAACACGTTTTTTTACTACAAAAATATATTTCAATAATAATGTTGAAAAATTAAATAATTGTTACTATCACAACTAGTTACTAGTTCCAAACAAATCAAAAGTTTTCAAAACTAACAATGTTTGGACATATACAAAGAAACTATTAATATTTTAATTAAATATTTACATAAACTAATAAAACAACAAAACCATATTCTACTAGACTCAAATAGAACTATTAAATGAAAATATATTTGAAATAAATATAGGCATCAACTGTAATATTATAAATCATATACAACAATTTAAGAGTCCCACTCATCATCATCTTCGTCATCATCATCGTCATCATCCTCATCATCTGAAATAATTAAAATATTGATATACAAAAAGAGTGTATATAGGTAAAATAATCTACTTATAATGTTCATTTTTTAAGCCTAATGGCATAGGTGTGCAGCGAGTGCAGAATTTTCATTGACCACTTGTTCTGTTTTTTTAATTATTAAGACATTAACAATAATAGACTTTATCACTCAAAATAGAGTTATAAATATAATGAACTGCTATTTAACATAAAATTACTTGAATACACTATGACTTTTGTAACACAATCAAATTAATATCATTAGTGTGCAAAGTTAAATAGATAAATTCATATGAATTTAAACATCCAATTGAAATTGAAAAAGTGAGAATGAAAAAGTCTATTGTGAAGTAAAGTTGTTTTAATTTTAAATAGTAGTGTATACTGCTAAAGTGTTAAAAAATTTATAAAGTTTAAAACTACTGCCATCTATTAAAAATCAGCTAAGAAATAAAGCAAACATATTTACATGTTCTTGAAACATATAAATGTAGCATTACATTAATAACTTGCACTAATTTTAAACACAACAATGCATAAAGCTATTGTTAATTTGGTAAATAAAAATGAAAACTCAGTTCAGACATATAATAATATAGACAGATTCTGCATTGTGGAGAATTTGTTTTCTAAAACTATAGGCTTTTATTTTTTGTTAAAAAACAAAACAAAATAAAACAAAGTTAAATTAAAGAAATTCAAAGTCAATAGTATTTAAATTTTTATTAACACGTTTTTTAAGACTACCTTTTGCCAATGTTTTACTTATCGTTGCTGGTTAGGCCTATTATCATTACTACTACTACTACTACTTGAGATCTAGTACTACCTACGTAGGCCTATATAAAAAATTTCCCACGGTTCATTGCGACTAGAGTAATGGCGTAATGACGTCACCGCCAGATGTCACGTGCCTGGTGACGACACAGCTATGGAAAATGATACGTCGACCAGTAGCCCGCTACTTTCTGGCGCTTTACCCGTTTGGAAAAAAACAACAAGGATTGACGCATCGTGTTTGATAATGATATGTACACTATCCATCTCAGTTGGAGGGGGCACTGGGATCGTAGCGAGATAGACAAGCAAGTGGCCGACTGTTGTGCAGAAGTAGGCTACAGCAGTAGGCGGCTGTTGGAGGTGGTGGAGGATCTAATACTACAGGTTATTTTGGTCCGACACAATACAAGTGGGTCATCCTATTCATGTCCACGCTTTTGTCCCACGACGCAGTGACCTACACAATAGAGAGCGGGCTATAAGCAACAGCATTGATTGTGTGGTGATCTGAGATGGATGAAAAGTTAACACAATATTTTTTTTTTTTAAATTAGTGCGTTCAAAATTAAAGTACATTACCGTCCGTGATGTTAAGCAATGAAATATACAGAAGTTTTAGGGAGTGTGTGTGTTTGTGTATGACTGACTGCTCCCCTACATAAGCCCACAAAACAAATGCCGTCTTAAAGTTAGTCGGGGGTCGTCGACACACGACTTATCGGACCACGTGGTCACGTGAAAGATCGCTCGGCTGCTATCCCGTAGGACTCGCGTTCGGATCTTGGTCCGGACTGTGGAGACTGCAGGACATTCCTTGATTCACTCAGCTCTAATGGGTACCTAGATGACTCGCGAAAGAGAAAGTAAATGACACTGGGTAAAGTGCTGACCACACTATCCCTTTATATGCTGAGTTTAAAATAGGAAATCTACTTTATCTGCCCTGTGGATCGTTACGTCTTAAAGTGGAACTTTTATTTTTACACATGGCACGTGGGGGGGGGGGAGGGGAGTTATTAGCTATTATGTGACGATGTGTGATTGGGGGGAGGAGGTAGAGGAGGAGTCAGAAACTAACATTTCAGTCTGACGTTTTAACAGATACTTTTCGCAACTGATTGACTTCAACAGCATAATGAACACAGAAACGATCGAGATTCGAAAGGTCTCTAATTATTTTGTATTAGTATTACTATTTCAGAAATAAATTAGCATTTCAATCCTATGTTGGCAGAATATTTTGCTGTGAAAAAGAAAATTAGTAATTTCGTTTTTTTAATGGGGGGGGGGAGTGGATGGGTAATAATAAGTTATTTTCGCAACATTTGTAAAGTGTTTTCCCCGAATGCTTATTTTTTTTGGGGGGGGGGGGGGGGGAGAGAAAACACGGAAGAAATAAACTCATTCATTGGTTAATTTTTAAAAATCATTTTCGGGAAATGATTTGTCCTGTTTAACTTGTTATAAAATAGCAACAGAAAATAACCCATTCTAAAGCCGGAGGTCAACACTTAAAAAACAGTTACAGGACACTCACGCCAAACGAGCTTTTAAAGAAAAATGCGCATTGTTTTAGTGTACTGCGATGTGCTGATAGAGAAAAGTTGTGTTCAACATTGAAGGGATAGGATCGCTAACATCTAGATTTCTAGTTAGTGTTAACCTTTGCTTTGATCTCATTATCCGACCAAACTAAAAAAGGCGTAATACAGTTGTCAGTGAGTACCTATACATTATTTTATTTCTGTTTTTAATAGTTTTGTTCTGATTATATTGATGTATTTATAACTGAGTATATTGTTAGCGATTTTTTTTTACCCCCCCCCCCCCCCCCCCCCCTCTCTAAATGACGTATGAAAGTTCGCGATCCTTCAATTAAAAATAATGATAATTTAGGGGTCACCCTTAAATAACGACACGCTTTTTAACTCTGCTCCGTCACAAAAAGCCAGGCACCACCCCCCAAAAAATGACGTCACACTTCAGCCAACACCCCCCCCCCCCCCCTCGCAAAGACTAACGGATTCTAAGTTTCCCAACAGTACATAGGGTAGCTAATTTTTTCTTGTCATGTAGTTCGCTAATGCTACTAGATCTCATCATGATCATCTTTTCCTTAATGTGCCCATGATGACACATGGGGCCGCCACTGAAAGCTCTACTAGTCTAGATCTAGCTAGAAATTTTTTTATCTTTTGCCCTGCGGTTTACAGACCGGCGGATTAGGTCTACATTTAGGCGGGGCCCCTGGATGAAATTATTTTTTAGACCTTAGTAATAGTAATGGATAATTAATGTAAATCACCGGTATATTAATTTTTAGTGCATTTTTAAAAGCTTGTTATCATAATTATGAACAATTATAAAAATTCAGATGGTTCTAGATACTAGAAAAAAATCTAGCTTATTTTTTTTTCAATTAGAATGTAGATTTTATCTATGGTATCAATATAAAAAAGAATATTATGTGTGTCCTGGGATGGCTTAAAATGCTGGTTTTCTTTATTAAATTTAAAAGAAAGGGTAAATCTAGATTTTATGCCTACTCGAGAAATTATATAAGCTAGATCTAGATTGAAATACATCTAGAAAAGTAGAAAGTCTAATTTCTAAATCTAGATCAGAAGATACCTCTCTTACTACTAAAATCTAGTCTTAGGTCTTATACTTAAACTGACTTTTGTCTCTAACCCTATATACTAAAGGTGTTGGTAAATTGCGAGACGCGAAACGGCAAGAAGAAAATGCGAGACATACCTGCGGAATCACGAGTAAATAGCGAGACATTTTCTTTTTTTCAAATTTTTGGCAATTGGTTCTTTAAGGGAGAAAAATCCCGTCTCGGTCAACGGGTCACTGTGAGTGATAACGAGAATATTTTTATTTTTTAAATTAGGCCATATAAACTATATTTTTTTAGAATCTAGATCTATAACTAGATCTATCTATATCATTATCTATATATACAATTCTCAACATTTGTTGTCCGCTTCTCGCTCGCGGGGGCACGAAGAGAGTAAAAAATGTCACGTGACCGATGGTTTTCGCAACATTGCCCCAAAAAAAAAAACACGTAATCTAAATTCTTGGTTGTTTTTAATTCTAGTTATTTTAATTTTACTAGATCTAGGTAGCAAAAAGCTTTCTTAAGTTAATATTGAGTAGATTTAGAGATCTAGGGTTCAAACTAAACTTGTGGATCAGACTTTTTTTTATATCAAGAGAATCAAAGGGCAGTCGCATGCATGACGAATCAGCATGCTACACAACCCCAATCCTTCAATTTGATATTTCATCATATCCACTTTTGCCTGATCAGCATCATTGCCATAAGCTAGCCAATTTGTTTTTATCATTTCAATTCAATAAAGAATTGATCAAATAAGATCAAAGCTTGTGTAGATTAAAACCCTAACGATAGTAAGAAGTGAGAAGTAGAATCAGACGAGATAGGCTAGGCTAGACAAGGAAAGGTAGGAAGAGGAAGTGAGGATGTTTAAAAGTTAGATATAAACGCATGCGCATTGTCGCACCGCTAGGAATCATGGGAAATCATTGCCAAATATAGAAACAACAAAAATTTTGACGTCAGATAACCGGAAGCCATCTCTGAAATCAGTCAAGGGCCAGTCCGGTGAGTAATCTTAGGAAAATAATCTTCTGTATTAGCTTTAGAATGTTGTAAATTACTTTCACTAACATTTAAGCAGGACAAGAACTATTTATGCTGTAATATTTACTTCTTAATTGTTGTATTCAACAAATATTTCGCAGTAATAGCTTTAAAAATAATCAGTAAGTGTGCGGTTTCTCCACTTCTGAGAGAAGGGGAGTGGTGGCGTAGGATTTTTAAAAATAGGCTACACTTTACATTAGTCTACAGTCTACATATTCCGACTTTTAGCCCACGTATATTGCATTCAGCCTAAAGCAGTTTATCAACCTATACACTTAGTGTAGTTAAGTTCGGATTTGAATTTCGACTAGCCTACGGTAAGGTGTTATCTAGACCAAAGACTTGGTCATTAGAGAATACTGAAATTATGAAATTAGTGAATAAATACCTACCTAGAGTGGGGTCCTAGAGTCTAGACTAGATCTAGAAGATCTGATCTAGATCTAGACTAGATCTAGACCTAGAATCTAGATGACTAGTCTAGATATTTCATGATTTAAAATAAAAATAGATGGAGCTAGAGCTAGAGTGAGCCTAGATTCTACTTTTCTAGATTAGTGATTTGATTTAGATCTAGGATCTAGTTTTAGGTTTGGGTTATTGTTGTTAATTTAATTTAAAATTATTCAAATCATTAGAGGCCAATTAGAGCTTATTAATTAGGCTATTAAATTAAGTATTAGATTAGAGCATTAGGCCTAGTATAATATTAATTAGGCTAAGCCTATTTTAAAAACAACCCAAAAAGTAAAAAAAGCCCAGTCTAAGTCCAGTATGATTATAAGCCTAGGCCAAGATTTTATAATTTATGTTTAGTACATATGTTGTTGTACATTGATATCTATCTAGACTTTACTCTTAGCCGTCTTAGTGCGTTGGGTATTTTGCTCTCTAAGATTTTACTTTGTGATATCTATTTCTTCGTTAATTTATTTAATTTTTGCTCAGCCTCTGGTTTATATGGTTATTTTAAATTCTATAGGCCTATCTAGGTAGTATATGTCTTGCTATAATAGGTCCACAATTCACAAATACTTTAACTAGCTACCATTAAGTTAAAAAATTTGGAAAGAGCTGAGTAACTTAATTGTCAAATAATCATCTCCTACATTGATTAGGCTGTTATAATTTGATTTGACTATATTTTGTAATATCTTTAATGCTTTTGTTTTGTTTGGTCTTTACACCTATATGTTCAAATAAAGATTACAATCTGGCTTGCTGTAATGGTTTAACTTTTTAAAGTCAACAATTAATTATATTTACATTCATTTTTACTTACAGATTTTCTGCAATACATATACTTAGAACCAGCAACATGCGGGAATACAAGCTTGTTGTCCTTGGCAGTGGTGGTGTAGGTAAAAGTGCTCTGGTAAGTTCACCCTCTAGTAAATCTTTAAAAATGTATCAAAATTTTGTATGAGAGTCTGTCTGTAGCTGTTTTATTTTTTCATTCCAGACTGTTCAATTTGTTCAAGGCATTTTTGTAGAGAAATATGACCCAACAATAGAAGACAGTTATAGAAAGGTAATATCTTAATTTTTAAGCAATATTTCAATTTTTTTTTTATGATTACCTAGGTCTATTAATTTAAGGCAAGTATTGCTGTTAAGACTAGCAAAAGTATTTCTATACTGAGCTAGTAGGAGTACTTGAAAGTGTAGTTAGTTGTTGTGTTGTCATATTTCTGTTTAGATTTTCAAGTTTAATGTGTAAAAATGAGTTTCCATCTGTTGATTCAAAGTTTTTTTCCTCTAACAGCAAGTTGAAGTTGATGGTCAACAATGTATGTTGGAAATTTTAGATACTGCTGGCACAGTAAGTTCATTCTGCTCTATTCTGCATTTAGAAATACTCGAATACTTTCTATAGCAGGCAGTTAACATATATTTCATTTTAAAATTTAGGAGCAATTCACAGCAATGAGAGATCTTTACATGAAGAATGGACAAGGTTTTCTATTAGTTTACTCAATAACAGCACAGTCTACTTTTAATGATCTCCAAGACTTGAGGGAGCAAATTCTAAGAGTCAAAGATACTGATGATGTAAGTTTAAAGTTTGAATTTATTTTACTTTTCATTTTGTTTCTCCAAATTTTATTTTTACATGCTTTTACTGTTCTTATTTACACAGGTCCCTATGCTGCTGGTGGGTAATAAATGTGATCTAGAAGATGAGAGGGTTGTAGGAAAGGATCAAGGTCAAAATTTGGCACGCCAGTTTCAGTGTGCATTCCTTGAAACATCAGCAAAGATGAAGATCAATGTTCTTGAGGTGAAATAATCTATAAGCAACTTTATGAAATTATTTTGGTTAATTTGTAATTGCTTGTTTATCAAAGATACACAATGTTCACTTTGCCTTTTTCTTTGTCCCTAGATATTTTATGACTTAGTTCGCCAGATCAACAAGAAGAATCCTGGTCCTGGAAAGCAGAAAAAGAAAAAGAGTGGCTGCAATTTACTTTGAAATCATAATGGTAAGTTTTTGCCCTTTCCCTATAATATTGTATTTAAAAAAAATGCTAAATTCTATAAGAGCAAATCAGTACAATATACTTGACCCATTAGGTTTTTACAATTTATATAACAGTGATTACGTTAAAGTTGTTTAACTTTCATTTTATGAATATTTTGCTGTTTTGTAAGTTTATGTTAGTTTAGAATTATATGCAATTAATAAATATTGGGTTTTTTTGTGATTCAACTTTTAAACTTTCCAATGTTTTTATTTTCCAGGTGCATTTGTTGGAGACATGGTGGTAGGCAGTTACTTTTACAGTACAGTTCATCTAAATTTCTCTCTAAAATAAGCTTGACGGATACTAACCTAATACTACTAAGGATACTGTTTATTTAAATACAGGTGTCTGTCATTATCTCAAGCCACTAATACAGCCGTGTCAACATGGCTAGTGATATGCCAGTCTATATTTCTATTTATCGGACTACGATCAAGCCTGTTTAATTGTGGCTTCCAACTTATTACTATAAAAATTGTGAGCCAGAAATGAGAAACAGCAAAAGTACCTTGTGTGTGGCTGTGTTAATTGAATATAATGTAAATGCCTACGTAGTTACAGTAATGATCTAGATGGATAATGTAACAAAAAATGCAATAATTATTGAAACAATGTGTGTGCATTCTGATGGTAAATTTGGAATTTATGCAAAGAACTACATTTTGTATAGAATCTCTTGGGTCAAAATTTAGATTTAAGGAAATGGGACTTACTCATACTCACAAGCCACTGAAATTGTAGATTTTTGCTCACTGCTCTTTTTGAAAAAAAATTTCTTTCACTTGCATGTTGACCTAGTTAGTGCTTTCATGTCAGATTTTTTTATTGTTGCTGGGCAGTCTGGATTCTAATGTCCATGAGGATAATACAAAATGTTTGATGGACCATGGATTAATTCATTTTTAGTGGGGGGTATTTGTGGACTTTTTGTTGCATTTATTTGTTCAGTGTAATTTATTACTTCTTACATTGTTTCATCACATTTTAATTCTATAGTGTCAGCTTAGAAACTATTGCAGTAACATCTAGCTTATTTGTGCACCTTGAAATTATGTTTTCAAAAAGTTAACTGACAAAGGGATTTTATAAGCTAAATCTAATCAGAGCAAGGGCAGTTCAAAGGAGTTGTTTCAAGATGTTGATTAGAGACATTAATCTGTTAATTGGGCTGATTTTTGTAAGCAGCAGTTTTTCCCTGTCCTTTGTGGGCAGGTTTTAAATGCATTGTAGTTTTTTTTTAATTAGGTTATATTTTTAAAATATGTAACACCCATCTTGGTTTTATTTAAAAACATTTATTCACCGTTAATTATTTATTTTTATCTGAAACTTGGCTGTTAATGTGTACACACTTTCTTCAGAGAGATGAACAAATATGGCATGCACATCTTTCTTTAATTACATTTTCACATGTTCTAATGCTTAAATCTAAACATGGTATGCTAGGGTCAGTGAGCCAGCTTACTTGTAGTGTTGACAAAGTGATGCAGGTCAACTGGTGTTAACTTTCTTATGTGGATCACAGTATGTCATGTGCTGGACATGTTTAAGCAAATTAACACCAGTGCCTTCTTATAAGACTGCTAAGACTAAAAAAAAATTAATCACTAACCTGTTTTTTTTTTCATTGTTTGTTAACAGGTAATGCCCTTTTTAAAAAATGAATTCAGTTCAGTAGTACAATCTTTTTATTTTACAAGCTATGCTCTGTTTGTGACAAGTTTCATGTCGAAATATGGTGATGGTTTGTTTAAAGAGATATCTGAATCTGTCTTGGTACTGTATATATTGCCTAGATTTATGTAAATTTGAATAGGCCTGCTTCAGGAGTGCATGAAGGCTAGTCAGAATGACAGATGTACATGTTGTACAATCACCAGTTCCTGTTTGTATGTTTTCCATTGGACAAGTCCATACTATTTTATTCTTAAATGTAGGCTTGTTATTTTTCTCCCCATTCTTTTTTTAGAACCATTGATTGATAGTTTGTTCTACATATTGCAGAATTCAGCTTTACTTGAAAATATTTGGTTCTCACATGTAAATATTTGTATTTGATTCTGGTTTGAGTGTTATAGTTTTATATATTAGTAAACATTAATCTGCTATTTGACTAGAAGTAAAATAAATATAAGTAACAAGCCTTCATTGCGTTTTTGCACTTAACATAGTGGGTTTGACCTAACTGTTTTATAGTTTTAAATATTTACATATGCATTGTTACTGTAAGGTATCATTCATTTTCTTTACATTTTTGTAAGTTAGTAAGGACAGGCTTTTAAATCTTTTCAATAAACTATAACAATGTAATTCTATAAAATGTATAAAGTAATGTAAAATGAACAGATGTGATGGACGCTTTATATTAAAAAAAAACATTTTAATACATGTGTATGTATGGCTTTTTTCTGTAAAAGATATCACCCAAGTTGTAATAAAGATCATTTAACATACACTGCAGAAGACTTGTCATTTGGTTTATTTCAAATCCATTTGTCATTGTGACAATGCAAACTGCACTGTTACACATTTTACCAGTAGCAATATATACAAAGGTTATTTCAAGTAAGTTAGTGGTCACCTGCAGCTTATGTAAGACTGCAGTTAGAACCACAGAAAGAAAATTTAGTAAATACATATCACATGTTTCAAAATTTCAAACAATAGCTACATTTGTTCAGTTGAAACAAACCATTCATGGACGGAAATAAGCTGTTGATAAATATATATATATATATATATCTGACCCCATGTATTTATCACAATCACGATAATAAAATATCTATTCAAGCTTTTGTCTGTTGTCATAACTTCTGTAAAGTATACATAACAGTAAACACTTATTGAACAAGAACTTATTCAAGTAAATAGCTATAAACTGATCAGGTCTGATAATTCTGCAGTCAGTTTAAAGAGTTTTTTTTTCATAGGTATTTTCTGAAGTCTTCTTGCTGGGAGATTCAATCATCATACTTGCTTTTACAAAAAGGGCAGTGACCACGTTGAAGGTATTGTTGTTCAAAATCATCAGTATGAAACAACTGTTGAGGGATACAAAGATAAAATGAACTATCAATACTGTCAAATAGTAAGAGAGCATTTGCATATCACAGGAGAAATTAGTTAACAACTTCTAATAAATCCAAGTTAGTTTTTGAATGGTGTACAGGGAATAATTAGCAGTCTGACAATTTCTACCTAAACAGTTCATTGATTTCTACTGTACCTTGTTACATGAAGAGCAGAGAGTAATAGGCACATCTGGCAGAAGTGACCTAAAGAACTGGTATCTCAATGGCTTTGGCCATTTTAGTATGTACACATCTGACCTTGACATTGTCTGAAGTGTTGATTTATTGACAACCACAGGCTGAAACTCATCACTTTCCTGGAATACAGAAAATAGGGTAAAACAGGGAAGCAAATTTGTGTCAAAAATTGTAACAGTTATTAGTGGGTTTTTTTCCACACTGTTGTGTTCTGAAAACTACATTAGTAACACGAAACATAAGATCTCAACTAATGCTAATATGACTGCTATATTAAAAACAAAGATGGAAAAGGTTCCCCTTCGTTGTAATATTATACATAAGCTTTCAGAATGCAATGTGACAAAATGTATTTGATCAGTGTTTTAAAAAATAGTTATAGATTACTATTTTTATATTACTAAGAAGTAAAAAAAAATATTTAAAAATTCTATAATCACCAGTTTTACTAAATTCACAAAAAAGAAAAAAAAATGGTTTTCTTGAAATTTAACTTCTGTTATATAAACTATAAATAAAAGTATTTAAAATTTAGGAAATGTGATTAGTTGCAAATTATTAATACTAATAATTATTGATATATGAGGAGACTTTTTACACTGTCTGATGCTAACAATGACAATTAAAGATACCCCCACCCCCAAAAAAGTGACCTGGGGCTTAGTTGGAAAGATGTTAACAGACCTATGGCAGCTCGGAGAGTAGACAAGTTAGATCAAAAGAAGGTTAAAGCTCTTCATGATACTCCACTGTAGAGCCATGGGGATGGATAGATATTACTCTGTGTATAATATTAATATCTAGGCCTGTTTATATATATAGATGTACCTATCAATTTCCAAGGTATTTTTTACATATGCTTTTATTTATTTTTATGAAAATGAAAGCTTGTTGTTAAGTATGTTTTCAAATACTTATTTCATGTTTAACACTAACATTGTATGACTTGAGCCTTGCTGTAAATGGATCTTCGTCTTCTTCAGGAGCTTCCTCCCCCAGTCGCAGAGATTGGAAATCTGCAGGGTTTTTTTAAGGTCTATGACTACATGGGGTGCCTAGCAGTTTCTAAAAGGTAGGCCTATTTCTTCAGGGGTTACCAGTGTCCACCTCACCCCTTGAAGTTTAAGTCCGCCCCCCGAAAATTTCATAACAGTATGCAGTTGTTGTTATGGGTAATTCATCAAAGGGTCATCTGTAAACAAATTTTACCTCCACAACCCCCCCCCCCCCCCCATCATCTCACATCATTACAAAAAGCCAGTCTCTTAAAAAACATCACACCTTAGCATAACCCCTAGTCCCTTCAAATTCTTCTTTGTAAAATTTTTAAAACATCTATTTCTTTATACTATTTACAGTGCTTCAGTATATTAAACATGACAGTGTTGATTGGTAAAACATAAAAAATATGTCTCATTGGTAATTAGCTGAGGTTATCTAGAAGTCTTCATGGAAATGTCCAGAAAATCAAAGAGCTTTATGTTAACAATGTGTGAAATCTAACATTTTAAACTAAATGTGATTTCTAGCTAAAAAGGATACTGCCCATCTTTGTTTCTGACCAAGGTCCACCTTTCTTCTTTTGTTTTGGAATGGACATGTCCAAGATATGTACAGCTTCCTGGTCTGTCATTCCTTCCTCTAGAACAAACTCCACCAGAGGAAGAACTTCTGCAAGACCAGAAACAAAACAAAATTTTAAAATTTAAAATATTAACAGTTGCCAGAAGCTGACCTCAAATGAAAATGAAGGAAAAATATTTTTGAAATGTAATTATTTTTTACCAAAAGTGACAAAGGAATGAACAAATGGTTGCTTGCAATTAACGCATCTGTTTCCAGTTTTGTTGACCAAAGGGTTGGTTGTGGAACAGCGATAACACATTGCTAACAATTCCTGGTAGGATACAATGTTTTTCATTTTTATAGATTTGAACACCAGGTGAGAATTAAAGAAAATGCATTTATTGAGCAGCTACAAATACAAAAAATATGTTTAAATATGTTTTATAAAAATGAATCTCTTTAGAATACTCCACAGAAATGTAAAAAAAAATTATTTTACTTCTGCATCATGGAAAGGTTTGGATCTGACAGTCAAACACCCTAGGTCCACAGCATTCTGGAACCTTGATGGCAGACGCATTAAACGCAGTTTTTCATATGTTGTTCTGGCCAGCTTATAAGCCCCAAGATTCTTACTTTGTTTGGCAAGTGTGAACAAAGTTGCTGTACATTTTGTTAAGGGTTGTATTTTAAGCTTACATCTAATAATCCACTTCACGCCATATACTACAAGCTGAAGTATTAATTTTTTTTTAAAGTTTTTATAAAATTGGTTTTAAATATTTTTAAAGGATATGACTTAGAAACTCCAACAGGCACATCTCTCTCTGTTTCATGCAGAAGGTAGCGAGACATGTTGAACAACCCTTCAGGCAGCACACTGGTAAATGGTTCTACCTGTAAGTAAGATATATTAGAAGATTCAGCCACGAAAATTTACTATATAGATGTATTTCTTAACCTCTTGTTTTTGTACTGTTGGTGTTAAAATGTACTTACCACGTGTCTATTGATGGTATGGTATACGTAATAAATGTTTGCTTTAGTTTGAAAGTCTCTAAACTTCTTAAGCATGTCAACACATTTTTCTGGTTCTTCTGCAAAAGGAAAAAAAAATGCCAATTTTCTATATCAAAGTATTAAATTTTTATTTATTTATTCCTTTGGCCTATCAACTGACCTCTAGCAATGTCAAGACACTGGATAGACAGTTTCCAGAAGTAGTAGCCAGCATCATCAAACCTCGACTCTACCACTGCATTGTGGGTCAACTGTTCCAGAACCTTGACTGCCTCTGCTTGTAGACCTGCCTTGTGGAAAGCTAAACACAAGTATACCATAACTTTAGTTGCATCACAAGTAAATGTATACCATAACTTTAGTTGCATCACAAGTAAATGTATACCATAACTTTAGTTGCATCACAAGTAAATGTATACCATAACTTTAGTTTCTTCACAAGTAAATGTATACCATAACTTTAGTTTCTTCACAAGTAAATGTATACCATAACTTTAGTTGCATCACAAGTACATACACTGCACTGTTAGTGCTACATCTACATTATAAAAAACTAAATTGCTGTTATCAAGATTTAATTTACTTTTTCACTAATGGTTCAAAAATATTAATTAAAAGTTTAAAATTTTTAAAAAATACATATACAAAAATGCTTGCAAAAAACAGGCTTAATGATGATATAAATGCTTCATGTTGTGTTGATAATAAATGAATGCTTATGGTGGGTCAAACCTACCTTGTTGAGCCTCCTCAAACCTATCTTTCTCTGCCAACCACTGGGCATAAGGTACATACACATCTGTTTTGTATTCTGGATGTTTCTCTACTAGGATAAAGGCCTGAAAATTTGAAGCCAATATAGTAGTTATAACAATGTTAAAAACATTTTTGTAAATTCTCTAGTCCAGACATGAAAAAGATACTTGCATCGTCCCAGTGTTTGGCCTCGACCCGCATGGCAATCAAGGCTTTCTGGTCTCCCATCTTGCTGTAGACTTCAGCTGCATAACCATACTCTCCCATCTTAGCTAGGTGCTGGGCTGCCTTGCCCAGAGCTTCTCTGTCTGCCTTGTCAATTTTACGTGCCAGATCAATCATCCTTTAAAAAAAACCAAATCATCAAATTTATTTCAAAATCTCTACTTTTTCTTCTACTATATGCAGCAAAATTTAATGTGTAAAACCATGAGCAAGACTTTTCATGTGCTTTCTCTTCACATTAATATCAATTTTTCTAAAAAGCAAAGTACAACTTTATTTTGCATATTGAAGTCAAACTACTGCATTATCTTCTTCAGTTTCTGGAATAAAGCCTCACTATTCCTTCATAAAAATTCTACTTTACCTGCCCCATGGACCATAATGGTCCTTTTCTTACTTATTGTGACAAAAATGAACCTTAAAATCTTGGATCCACTTTTGGATAAATTTTGAGAGAAGTAAAAAAAAATAGGTGGCATGGAACAAGCTGCTTACATGTCAGGCCAGCCATGGTCGCCTATGATGTCAATGGCCTTCAGGTACTCCCCAGCTGAGATGTACATCTCTGCTGCTGCCCTCGGCTCATTGCTGCTCTTGGCCCAGTCAGCTTGCTTGGTTATAAGAAGTTTTTTATCTTGTGCATCACCTGCTCCCAGAAATTCCTAATGACAAAATATAAATATTTTTTATCAAAACATATTGGTACAATTAATTATATTTTTTAATTAGTTTTTTTTTAATCCTATCAATATCAATAATTAGATAAAGTACTACAATACCTTAGCATAGTCAAACATCCTCAAATCTGTGTACAAGTTAAGTGCTCTCTGTTCCTGGTTCGACTTTTTGTATAACTTGGCAGCTTCGTGAAATTTAGTCTGATAGGCATAGACATCGCCCAAAAACACCATGTTATCTTGCTCCCCCCTACGTTTTCGTTCCTACGGATGAATACAAACAGATATTGCTTAGAAAATTTACAAAATTGTTGCACTAGCTTATATTCTAGAACTGCTTTTTTAAAAAACTTTTCCAAGAAGCAAATAGTAGCTTTTGTCATAATTAACACTGGACGTACCTCAATCCCATGAATCAGTTCTAAGTAACGTAAGTCTCTAATCCTAATGAAGGCTTTCTTGGATGTATCAAAATCAAGTCCTTCCAGAGCATCATGTGCTAGAGCCTCCCAGTCACCATCTGTGACACCTAAGCAGGCCACTTTATAAGCTTCCCTGAGGTGGGGATTTTATGGGTAAAATCAGAATCATTGAATATAATAAACCTTGTACATGTATTAACAGAACCACAAAGAATATAAACTAAAATGAATAATAGAATACAAACTAACCATGTACATATAAATTAAAAGAATCACAGAATACAAATTAACCATGTACATATAAATTAAAAGTATCACAGAATACAAACTAACCATGTACATAAATTAAAAGAATCACAGAATACAAACTAACCATGTACATAAATTAAAAGAATCACAGAATACAAACTAACCATGTACATAAATTAAAAGAATCACAGAATACAAACTAACCATGTACATAAATTAAAAGAATCACAGAATACAAATTAACCATGTACATATAAATTAAAAGAATCACAGAATACAAACTAACCATGTACATAAATTAAAAGAATCACAGAATACAAATTAACCATGTACATATAAATTAAAAGAATCACAGAATACAAATTAACCATGTACATATAAATTAAAAGAATCACAGAATAACAAACCATGTACATAAATTAACAGAATCACAAACTTAAAGCAAAGAATGAGTGAGAAGCCTACTTGAACATTTTTTTCTCTAAATATTGGTACATTGGAGCTGACTGGGGGACATCAACAGCAGACATGGCATACACATGCAGGCAGAAGATCTTTGAGCCACTGAAACCAACCACAAAGCCCTGAAAATTTAAGAAAAAATATAACATGGTTAAACTTGGACTAAATGGCATCACAATATCTAAGCTATTATTTTAGTCAACTGTACCATATAACAAAGCTTACAACATCTAAACAATGTGTTTAAATTGACTTTACACACAAGTAGTAGAACAAACCAATGTATGCTTTTAAAAAATTATTTTGCTTACCTGCAATTTTTGCTGATGAACTGGAAAGTTGCTGGCTTTTATATTTAGCATTCCATTTCCTGAGAAACATAGCATGTCTTCATACTGCGCATTCCATGCTACACTGTTAGCATTTTTTTCCTACAGAAATATTTGAATATTAATTAACGAATACAAGGATTTACACTAAATCAATGAATTCAAGGTTTTACACTTAACTTCACTTGTCCGAAGATCCTAATTCATCTGGAATTTACTGACTCTTACATATACATGAACTCTACTTCAGCTGACCCATGGAGCTTCACATTCAAAAGCTTACTTAGCATTTTTTTACTAATGTATGAAACAGGTAAAATGTAAGGTAATTATTATTATTTCTTCTTTTTAATTAAAATCAATACAAATTATTCAATTTTTGGGGTCGGCGTGGTCGAGTCGGTAAAGCTCATGGTTGCTAAACCGAAACGTCTCGAGTTCGAACCCTCGGGCAGATGAGGCTCGTTAGCTGGGGACAGCCACTCTTCTAGGAGAGACAACTCCAAAATTAAACAACTGCTGCCTTGTAGTTTGTTCTTGGTTGGACAAAGGCTATGGAAGCAAATCCAAAAAGAAAAGCAGGCTGAAATCGGAGTCAATGGCCTCAATGGCGCATAACCAGTTGACACGAACCGCTTAATTGTGTTGGAGGCGTGGTCGAGTCGGCAAAAAAAGGTCATGGTTGATAAATTCGAACAAAGTCTCGAGTTCAAACCCACTGGCAGATAAATCTCGACCCCCTTCAACACTAATAATTAAGAACGAAGAAGAAGAAGAAGAATTCAATTTTTTAAATTATTAAAATGGTATAGGTCCCAAGAGAGCCACAAGTAAAAGTTTATAAGAGCTTTTGTATTTGTTTACCTGAAAGAGCAGATCTTTAGTGGTGAGGTCATACACCAGACAAGTGTTCTGCTCATCAACCACTGCCAGCTTGTTCTGGGAGGAGCTCAAATCAAGGCACCTTACAGATGTGCTTTGTTTCATCAGGAGGATGGGGAAAGGATTGTCCGCAAAAATTTTAAAGATCTGAAAACAAATTAGCTAATCAACAAACTCAATCTTAGCCTAGCTTTTAATCAATACAAATTTTAATCTTCTACTTGAATTATACTAAATTTTAAATATATTTGCACATAAAACGAAGGTTCAGACTACTGATTCATTAAATAATTAACTAGCTTAATCTAAGCCTAGCTTTTAATTTCACACTTTAATTACGCTAAATGAAAATATAATTGTTTATAAAATGTTACAATTTGTTTACATTTTACCTGGCCATTTTTTAAACCAACAAGCAGCCCTTCTTTGCCAGCAGGGCCACCAATGACTTTGATGTATCTAATTATAGACTCCATCACCCACTCTCTCTCCTTTTCACCAGAAAATGATAAACACTGGAGCTGTTTTGCCTACAATAATAGATGTAGAATTTTGTTAAATCCGTGAAAAATAATTTCTTAAGATATAATGCTGGTTTTAACATTTCAAAATTGGAAAAATATTCTTGTAAATCAAACCTTTCCAATTGGAAATTGAATTTATAGCATATCTGATAACAATACAAGCAAACTGTACAGTTAATAAGTGACATGCTTCTCCATACCTGGCATAGAATGATATTTTGCGAGCAAACGACCAAAAGGTTGGTATCAAATTTTTTATTAATTTTTTCCTTCACTCTGTAGTGCATGTCAGCTGCATCATCAGAGTACAGCTCGTATACAATGATACGATCAGGCAGTTGAACCTGTATGAAAACAGAAGGTTTTTACAGGTACTCTCTAACAACTATTTTTATATTTTAAAAAATAAATTATAGATAAATATATACATTATATATATATAGATAATAAATTATTTAAAACAATGTAACAAGTCTGTAGTGAATCTGAGAATTTTTATGTTTTTCCTAGATAATGAAAATCAATTTTAAACTCACAGCCAGTCTGTTTCTATAGATAGCGATCTTTTTAACTAAATCACGACATTTGATCCGAACTGAAATAAAAAAACACCAAAACAATACCATTCAAAGTTTTTAAATGCCTCAGACAATTCAGTAATATGCATATATTTAAGTATAAAAATAAACCAATTAGCCCTATATCTTAAGGCTTTTCTACTCTTGTGTATAAAAAAACAAACAGAAACAGCTTAACCAACAGTCTCACCTTTCTGGTCTGTGGTCAGATGTTGGATTATGACATCTGTCATGTTGTCCCTGTAGGCATATCGTTCCTTGTATAAGCCATGAACTGTACTAAATATGAGTTGATATAATGCAATCGTCCCATCATTGGTGCCTACAGCCTAAAAAATAACAAATTTCTATTTTAAAATTCATATAGAAAAATAAATAATCAAAGTATAGAGGGAATTAGCATTTCTAATTGATACTTTCTTTTTAAACAAAAAAACCAACAACCTACCACATAGTTGGAGTCAGGCTTGACAGCACAGCTCCACACCCACCCAGCGGGTTCACCTATGACACCTAACTTTACACCTTCTTTTGTGTGCAAACAGCACTGCTTGTTAGCGCCACCTAGCACTATGTACTCGCCTTTAGTGAACCAGCTCAAACAGCAAGGGTCATATCCAAGTGTTCTATCTTTTCCAATCTAAAATGGTAAGCAAAGCAAGCTACTAAATGGACACATGCCATTAAACTTTAACTTACTTTTTAAGTTTTTTATATTATAAATGTTTTGGAGCATATATATACACAACAGTAATATATATATATACTTTTTTTAACTTAGTATAATCTATTTTACACTACCAAAAGTACAATGACAAGGAAGCAAGTACAACCAAACTAACAGGGCCAACCTCAACCACAATGTTTTTAAATTGTAAAAATATTTATTATGTAATTCAATTCAAAAGTGAGTAGCATTTCATGATTCAAGTGTTTAAATAAGAAATTCAGTAAAGTTAAAAGAACAGACATTTTTACAGTAACAGCAGTAACAAAAGCAGAAAAAAGGCCCAACATCTATCTGTTTGCTGACTTTTGATCATACCTGTTTTCCTGAGAGTTGGTAGAAGGAAAGTTTCTGTCCCCAGTCAGCAACAGCTAGGACATCACTGGACTCATCTTTGTTTGGGTTCCAGGAAACAGACCAGATAGGAGCAATATTGGCCTGGGGCCTCTCTATTTTCACCTTTTCTTCACCAGACTGCATATTATATTAGAAAATATTTTCAAAGGACAAATCACGTGTTTGAACAGAAACTATGCTTAGCTTAACTTTACGCATAGTAAAATGTTTACCACATTTATTTTAGAAATTTAAAGAGCTATTTGTGGGAATTACCTTGTTTCTTATGCTGACCAGTCCATTGTAGAGACCTAAGGCTAAGTATTGCCCATCATTAGTCCAGCTACAGCAAGTGATTCGACTGCTGACTTTATTTTTAGTGACTGATTTTTGTTCTGGTGACCAAAGGCCTGTAAAAAAAAGATTTGAGTAAAATCTAATTATTTTATTCTTTTGTTTTTAAAACACAGATAAAATTGTCAGTTTTCTATTAGCAATTGTTCAGAGTGAAACAATCATACCAAAATCTGTGATTGCACAGCTTGCAAGCTGGTGAGAGACTGGATTGTAAGCAAGACATTGAATAGCATCATTGTGACTGAAATTTGACAAAAATTTAAAACGTAAAAAATATTGTTGATTAGAGTAACACTAAAACTTTTTATATAAAATCGGATTCAGAATGTTTTTAAGTAGCTGTTAAAGAAACTTATTTTTAATTTACACAACAGTGTAACACATACGTGTATTTTAGAATTCCCTCTAGCTTGTTTGTCCAGATTATAACACTTTTATCCGCTGAACCTGAAGCAAACCTCTTCCCATCAGCAGCATAAGCAACACAGTACACAGTTTCCTTGTGCCCCTTAAGAGGCTGTATCATTGTACCATCTGCTGCATCATAAACCAATACCCGATTACCAGCAGCAACAATTAGTCGTTGGCCATCAGGACTGAAGCATAAACCCCAAACGCTAGAGAAGAAAAATTAAAGTTTTAGGGAGCCCAAAATCCAACCAAATATAAAACAATGAAAGAATGATTTTTTTCTTCAGAAATAATGTTTTTCATGGACCTTGATAGTGGTTTTAAAAAAAAAACAGGTCTACTAGTCTACTATTGCAGTGATTTTTCTCTACATAAATTAACAGTGCACACTTTTTAAAAAAATTGTTAATTCATAAGTGATTTACACTACAGTCTTAGAATCTTAGATACTAACTTTTAATACTAGATCTAAGTATTTAGTCAATTTTTATAATATTTAATTTTAAGTCAGTGAGTTAGCCTAACCTAACTCACTAACTCTAACTAACTGAAGTAAACAAACTACTTTTAAATTTTAGATCTAGACTATTAGCTTACCATTGCTCGTGCTTATTGCTGTCGATAACCTTGTCGACCCAAGTTGGCACTGCCCTCATCTTTATAGATGTGTTTTATTTTAAAAACTCATATTAATTTCTAATGTTATCTAGTCGTAGCAACCGAAGCGTCCTAAGAAATATAATTGGAATTTGATAAGGGAGCTAATTCATAAACATTTCCGGTTTACGTAAAAAATAAATCACAAAAATGATGACGTCATAATGGACAAATAATTATTTTTAAAAATTAATGCTTATAATTATATAATAGTTTTAACAAGAGCCTTCTAACATCATGGCTCCTTTCAGATTTTATTCTTCGGAGGCATTAAAACATTGTGGGTGGGAGGAGGCTTTGGTTTAAAATATATATTTTTCGATTGCAAATTGGATAATAATTTATGTGGGGGGGGGGGGCAAATTGTAGCCTAATAAAAACTCTACTAATGATTAAACTATCCTATTTGTAAATTAAATTAATGACACGTTGATCTTAAGTAATATAGATCTAATTCATTTTTAAGACAAAATGTTAGGTCTAAAACTTTACCCAACATCAACATATAGTATAAAAGTATGTAGTCACCTGCAGCAGTCTTATGTCACTTATGATACATTTTTGGGGTAGGCCTATATAGTAATGATCCAGTACACTGAAAAGGACCTGTTCACTGCTGACATGGTCCAAGTTCGTGCTTTTTAAATATTTTTTTGTTTTCTAAGTAGCCATAAATATTATAGGGAAAAATTTTTTAAATAAATATGAAAAAAAAAAAGAAATGTAATATTTTTAAAAACAATGGTCACAAAAATTGCAAAAGCAGAGGACTTTGGATATTTTTCTATAAGTTAAAAGAATATTTTCTAATGAAATACAGGTCGAGCAAAAATGACATGATACAGCATTTCTCAAAGAAATTTTATTTTATTTTATAAGCCCTTCCTATTGTGGTAAATGTTTATATTATTGAGCATCAGCAGGACCTAGTTAAAGTAGTTTTTTTTACATTTAAATTTCATTAACATGTGGTGACATGTAAAATACAAATTTTGTTAGCTTTTTTTATTTTGTTTAGTTACAGTAAACATCAAATTTGTAGAAAATGAAGACCACACAAATAACACAATCAAGTTTTTATAAAGTTTTAATGACATCTGCAAACATTTGTAATAAATAATAAATCTCCCCTGAGAGTTTCTGGGCCAATGCCATTTGCTTCAATTCAAACTTAATGTTATGCAAATATATCTATATAAAATGTACAGATAGCCTATCCAATAACTCATTGCCAAATTTAAAAATCACAAGAACACAAGAATTCATAATTTCAAAAGGATTAATAGTTTGAAATATCTCTAAGAATTTATTCATCAAATCATTATTCAATTTTATAGTTCTCTTCAAATGATACACTTGAATTATGTTTACACAAATTCATGTAAAAAAGTAATGCCTAGGAATTATTTGTACCAAATCAGTCAAACTTTATTATTAGATATATAGAAAAAAAAAAATTTTGAAAGAATAATTATTGCACAAAATGGTTTTACTTTCTCAAACAATACAAGCACTTTGTTAAAGTTATAAAAATTTAAAACTAAGCAAAAATTGTGTACACTTTTTAACTATGTAAAGAATAACAAGTGGATAGAACTAAAATAAAATTACTCTGTTATCAGTAGTTGATCAAATACACAACCAAAGCCTCATTAGTAACTAAACAGGTCATTTTTATCAAAGAGGAAATAAAGAAATTGAAAAAAAGAAAACTTGTTTGCTACACATTTACAAAACATGTCAATCAATATCATTCATTATATTCAACTATAACTTGGTTGTTTGTCCAATACTTTATTTAAAAAAATGACTGCTAATACACATTATACAGCCTTCATTTGGCCAATGTAAAAAGAGGGCTGCCTTTTGTCATTTAAAAAGATGCATCTACAGCTATAACCTGATTCAGGTTAAACAAAGGTATGTACAGGCTTGTCAGTCTTCTTTTAAAATTGTTCTTCCTAAGTAGCTCATATCTGTCACAGACTTGTAGTAATGTTAACATATTCTTCACGATTGGCAATACAGAACAGCCTCCTCTTAGAACTATTTATGGATGACCATGATGCAGTCATCACGTTCAAATAGTTCATGTAGCTCTTCATGACTCAAACCTGCAACAATAGAAATACATGTCATGTATGTCAAATAGTTCAAATAGTTCTTCATGACTCAAACCTGCAACAATAGAAATACATGGCATGTATGTCAAATAGTTCAAGTAGTTTTTCATGACTCAAGCCTGCAACAATTAAGATACATGTCACATATGCATGTGGCACAAAGGTAGAAATGTCCTACAGTGAAACTGCCTGAATTTGTAACTTGCCCTCAAGGAGTTAAAACATGGGGTGTGAGAAAACCAAGTTTGTTTCACATAATATAATCCATGTGTAAAACAGCTGTTTAATGGTCAACAGGTCAATGTGCTGTTTTCACACTAATGATGTGATATAATTAACTAAAATACAGACATTAGATTATTCAGTCAATTTTCAAACTATTGTTAATATCTGAAAATTCGTCGTTTATAAAATGATTTTGTAACCAGTCTTGAGCAACTAATTATCACACAAGTGCTTACACATCTATATATATATAATTCTCTTCTGGGAGACGCAAGAAAACAAGCTGTAAGCGCGCTCCCTACCTCCCCACCCCTACATGGTCTGGTGAGCTGTGGTTCACGCTAAATGTTTGTTTACATTCGTAGAGCCGGGTTTAGTGACGGCTATTAGGGGCAGATAATTTAGTTTGAAACGATTTTAAACTATGGGGAGGTAACTAAGAGGAGGCTGCTTTCATGAGGGGGGGGGGTGTAGGGTAGGGGTTGGGGGAAAGGAGGGTGGGGGTAGTATTGTCCTTAACGACCTACTGATAGTGTTTTAAAGCAAATATTTTCAGTGGCAGCATTGGTACTGTCGAATTCACAAATTATGAATTACTGAAAAGTAGGAACTAAAACAACTAAATAGCGGCGTATGAAATGCCGCGGGTCGGCTCGTTATTATAATTATTCTTCTGCATTATTAAATGTCTTCATTTATAAAAAAAAAATTGACATTCTTAAAGAAAAGATTTTAAAAAGTTAAATGTTCAATACACAAGTAATGTTTGATCAGTTTAAAAATGTTTATGTATCAAGATTTTAATAATATTTCATTTTACCTTTATTGCATTGCGTTTGTAAAAAGAATGAGCTTAAATACCTGTCTGACAACATATCTGGTCCATTGTGTACCTGCCATCCAGGTATTTATGCAAAGGTTGTAAAGCTGCAGTCAGGGGCTCCCCTGGTAATGCTATGGGATATTCATGGACTCTTCGGATGAGAGCTTTCATCATCCCAAACTGAACCAGTTTTCTATTGACACAAGACATTCGATGATTTGGTTCATAGAATTAATTAATTCTTTGAGTTAAGTGTTTCAGATTTTAAAATAAACAGAATTATGTTTTAAAGAAATAAAATCACACATTAAGCAGGCCATAGAATTAATTTTAAAATCTTGGCTCTCTTAGCTAACTATCACTTCATATGCAAAGGTCAAGGAAACTTTATTTCACCTGACTTATTGACCATCATGTTTGCAAGGGTAAATTTACTTACTCTTAAAAAATTACTATTTTGAAGAAGGAGTTGCTTCACCTTAACACATAAAGGGATCAGCATTATGCACTCTTATTCTGAGTCAGGTACCCACCAGAGATGGGTGGACTCTAAGATGACCTTTGGACTTAGGCCAGGGATCTGAACTTGAGACTTTTGGTAAGCTCTATCATCTTACCACACCGCTCCATTTTGTTTACACATAGCTAACAAATAAATACTCAGGATATTTTAAAATATAACAGAAGAGTTAATTTAACTGAATAATTTACACTTACATTTCATAAATGGTGTGTTTTCCTTACCTTTCATCAACTCTAAAAACATGAGGATTTTTTTGACGCAAACACAAATGTTTAACAGTAACTGCATTTGAAAAAGCAGAATACAATCCAAAAACATCTCTGAATTCTGGGGGACTTCGATCTGATTTACAGATTAAATAAAAAATTGTATGAGATCATATATAATGGTTTAAATGGAATGCAGCACATGTACAATGACTGGTAAAAATTGCTGTCTTAAAGCTAGAATAAAAGTTATTTAAACAATTGTAGTCATTAGCTTTATACTATCAATCACCTATCATTATGCTATTTTCAGTATTTTCCCCATAGAGGCTAGAATGTTTAAAATTATTTTAAACTTTAAAAGTAATTAGTTATGACAGCTTAATAATTACCCGATTTGGCAACAAATCGAACACATTCTTCCTGGAGGCGAACATCCTCTACTAGTTTTTGTATGTCTGGCGCAGTAACGTATTTGTTACAGTACTAAAAACAATTGAACATACAAATAAGTAGAACAAAAACTGAACTACAAAAATCAATTTTGACTTTAAAATTTTAGCAGTTATTTTAGTAATAAAATTACCTTTGACGTTAGCTTGACACTTGATGTTCATTTTACAGACTTTATACATATTACTTTTGGTTTACAGCTTCATATTGTTAAAGTCTTATACATTTGCAGGCTAGCTCTTTAGATGATAGTTTTTTAATAGTTTAGTTAAATAATAAACAGAACAGATCTATTTTTTTAATATATTTAGTAGTTTCTTCTTTGAGTTTCAAAATATTAATTGCTTTGAAAATAATGATTACAATACAAAATGGACATCCTTTTTACTCTGTACAATTGCTGGGTGAATCTAAAACTGATAATCATTATTTATAGGGTATTTTCTTTTCTATTATTATAGTTTTAAACATTAATTCTTACCTGAAAGATTGGAACCAATGTCATAAATTTGTAGTGCCTGGTGATAAATATAAGACAAATAGATTTCATTGCAAGATAGAATTTTCAATAAGATCTATGAGTCATCCAAATATGTAAAACCAAATATGCAATACTGAAGTCTCTAAAGATAGCAGTAACTAATGTTAGTGTTATACATCATGGAAAGTTATATTTGAGTAAATAGGATATGAATAATAAATGATTCTTACAAAAGGTTTTGAAGACTTGCTTTGACCAAATTTAGCTCGACGTCTGCCTCAGCTGCTATTTTCAACACATGTGACATGCCATCAACGTAGTGCAGAATCTAGTGAATAAGGATAATACAAAATAAACGATTGCACAGAATCTAGAGAATAAGGATAATACAAAATAAACTATCGCACAGAATCTAGTGAATAAGGATAATACAAAAATAAACTATGGCACAGAATCTGTTAAATAAGGATAATACAAAATAAACTATTGCACAGAATTTATTAAATAAGGATAATACCAAAATAAACTATTGTAAAGAATCTATTAAAAAAGGACAATACAAAAATAAACTATCATGCAGGATCAGTTCAATCAATAAGAATGATACAAAAATAATGTATATTGTGAAGATTCTATTCAATAAGGATAATACAAAAATAAACTATCGTGATGAATTTATTAAATAGGACTATACAAAAATAATATATTTAAATGTAAGCCAGATTTGAAGCATATAATTTTAACCGAAAAAATGAGAGATTTAGGTGCACTAAGTATTTATATATAAAGAAATATTGCAAAATATAATGTTTGCTAAAATGAGTTTTTAGTGTTGTACCTGTTGTGTGGTGAGGTCCCATTGATACTTCATCATAATATCTCTTGGAACTATGAATATGGGGACATCATGATCTTCTACGGGGATTGGGTCTTGAATAGTGGCTGCCAGCTTTAGATGAACTGTACAGGACTTGGCTATACAAAACAAAATAACAAACATATGACAATAAATATATAGAATAATTAGACGCAATGTTATAACATTTTAAAACTAAGTCTTGAACATGATTTAATGAAAAACAGATAAGTCAAAAATTTTAAATATTTTATACTTCTTAAAAAACATGATTATGCATAAATTGATCACAAAAATACTAACATAAAATACATTACCCATTTTGATGTTGCAACAGCCTTCATTATTAAGACCATCTAAAACTTTCTTTAAAAACTGAGATACTTGTGTTGAATTTTCAGGTTTTGACAAAAATCCAAGTTCATTCTGAAAAATGACATGTGATGTAAAAATGTTTAAATATCAAGATAATTTTCATTAGAATAGAATAAAAAAACCAGTTGATACATTAACAAGACAAGCAGAAAATTCTGAGGATTAATCAAGTCATCAACTTAATATCTAATTTAAAATAACATTGTTTTTTAAAAAGACCTAAATATGAAACAACAAAGTGTTATTAAAAAAGAAATTAGATTGCATAACCACAATGTAGCCTCCAGTGTCTTATTAAATTATTTTCCATTATCTAATCAACATAATTTAACTTAAAGGGAAGCAGAAATACCTCCAGCTGTGTTAAGTATGCTGACAGTTTTTTCACAACAGATCCATACACTGAGGTCAAAGATTCCGGTGCCACAACAAAACATATGTTGAAAATGAATGCATTGCGTTTGTACTTGTCATTGTCTATGTACTTTGGGCAACCTACAAACTTGTGGCCAAAAGCTGTCCTGTGAAGTATAAGTTAATTTTGTCATGTCATGGGAAGCATTAAAATTGGATGTAAACTTCACTGGAACCATACTGTACAACTAAATGAATATATTAATCTTTCATATTTATTTATTTCATATTGATTTTTTTTACAAATATTTACTATAGAAATATTCTATAAGATAATTGAGTGATTTACAAATTAAGAGTCAAAGATAAAGTTCTATATGAATAACTAAGCAGAATAGATTTTAAACCAAAAATACATAATTTTAAAGTAACAATGTTTAAACTAAATTGCTGAGTTCTAATATTATAACAGCATTATTGTTGTGGCCATTTATGTATGCCATTTGTTATATTCTAGGTCCGGTTTCAATTACAATAATTTTTTAAAAATTGTTTGCTAAGTTTCTGAAACAAATATTAATGAAAATTTGTCAGCAACATTTGAGACAATTCAATTGAAAAGAGACTTTTTACAATGAGGATAGGAATGCTTACTTTTAGTTACTAATGTACAGGAGACAATATTTCATTTGCAGTAGAAAATAAAATAGCATTAAAGAATATTTTCTTTAAACAATTTACTTGCATGAAAGGAAAACTTACTTTGTGATCAACCTGTTCTGGAACTCTGGCTTTGTAATGACAAAATTCTGTATAGCATCAAAAATCTCTTTAGAAATGTATTCTTCAGGAGTCTGCCAAATATGAGAATATAAATCCTAGTTACTTACAGGGAGCTATGCATCGCTGTCACCATTATGTTAACAATAGCCAATCAAATCAACTGAATTATTAACAGATTTCAAGTGAAGTTTATAGAATCAGATCATTAATTAATAGAATTACAAATACAAATTACAGCTTTAATAAATTCGGTAAAATGGTAATTGAGATTATACATAATAAAGCATATTTGAAAATGGTTTTTTATTTTTATTTTAAATTGTTCAAAAACTTTAAAAATCGACTAAGTGTTTTAATTTATAACAGAATAACTAGTGTATATTGTTTATGTTAACAGGATTTATATGGAAATTAATTTTATCTTACGATAATAAATTATCTTTAAGCCTATTTGTAATATTTAAAGCTAAAATATTTTATCCAAGTAATTGTAATCAAGTTGTCTTATTTAATTACTTGCTAGAAAGCTGATAATTCTTAAATCTAAAAAAATAAAACAATATCTGATTCCTACAAAACTTGATAGATTCTTATCACTATAGTTACATCTATTGTAATCCGAAAACTGCTAAACTGCTTTCTCACTGTTTATCAAATTAATTTGATTGGCTTCTGTATATATAGTTTTGATGTTTATTTTAATTTACACTACTAAATGTCTAGATATTACTAAATTGCAATTTCTTAAGAAAAAGCTGAGGTCATTTTTTGTATGCAAGGTGCTTCATTAATAAAGTGAACAGCCATGCCTAAGTCAAGTATTTTGTCTATTCGATCATGTTTTTAGAGTAAAAGTTTATTTTAATGGTACAAAGCACAGAGGTTGACTCTTTTATGCTAGTTAATTATCTGTTGTTGAACATCTTCAACAACAGAGAAAAAGAAGGAACATAATATAGTATATATAACATTTTGATAAAAGAATAATTTTAGAATAATAATAATTTAGTATGGAGCTGTATGGCCTAAAAAATTTTGTGTTAATGGACATCAACGACTTGGTGAGAATTCTTCCATCATTATTGCTGACATGGATAAAAAACATGTATTTGTCAATTTTACCTTCATGGCAGCCGTTTAAAAAAAAAGGAAAAAAACTTTAAGCTTAAAGAAATTTTAAAAATTTAAGAACTTAAGAATCAGAGGTAAAAAAGCTGCAAATGTAGAGAACCTGAAAATATTTTTTTGTGTTTAAGGCTACATCTTTTTATCTATTTTCATCAAGCCTAAATTATAACCTGAAGTTTAACATCTGTAAGACTTCCATTGATTGGCTGGAAATAAACTCCAAGATCAATTTTCTGAAAACCCCACCTTCTTAACTTTCTTTTTAAACAACATGGCCTAGTTATGCCATGTTTATGTTCATTTTCAGTGACAAAATATAAACAACCAAATGGACCCAAATGAGAATAGACTTGATAATCCAAAAGCTTATTAAATATTTTAAAAATCATGTAGGCCTACAATGTTATTCAAATAAATATGGTTATAGAAATCTGACTGTTTGGTTTTTGTAATTTGTTAGACTTTATTAGGCCTAGAGACTGGGTGTAATTGATATTTTAGTATATTCAGTAACTAAACAAAAGTCTTAGAGCAAATAAGAAGAAAGTGTGGGTTTTTAGAAGATTAATCACTGAGTTTCTGCACTGCAAATCAATACTTGACTTACAAAAAGTGAAACTTCAGGTTATAATCTAGGCCCCGTTTGCACGGATCGCTCTGCTGTCAGCTAAATCTTTTTCTCTAAGTTGATCGTGATCTAAAAATAGATATCAGGACTGCCCTATTTTTTTCCATCTTAGCAATTTAATTTTGACATAAAGTTTAAGTGTTTTATTTTAACACCTAAGGTAGGTGTGGATTAAAAAAAAAGAATAGAATCTAGATCTAGTAGGTCAGATGATAGTAGATCTAGTTAGATCAAACTTTTCTTCAGTAAATTTTTTTTACAGCTATCTAGCATAAGTGGTAGTAGCTCTAAGTTTATAAGCATATGTGAACTTAGAAAAAAAAATGACAAGAAGTTGGTCTATTTTTCTATTTGCTTGAATGGTGGGTGGGGGGGGGGGGGGGGGGGAAGAGAAGTGTGAAGACAGCGTCCTCAAATAGAACATGTGTTCATTCTATGATATATACTATAGGCCTGCTGAACTCAGTGACCCCACCGATCATGGTGGGGGATTTCACCCGCAGGCTAAAAAATGTAAGCAAGTAATCACAAGTGACTGGAAATTTTATTTTAAAAAATTATTTTAAAAAAAATATTAGGCCTACATAATAACATATTGATACGTTTGATATGATATAAATAAAATGTCAAAAGGCCCTGTATTCCGATCGTTCTAACCCCTGATTTGAACATGAATTATAATTAAGCATTTTCAATCAGAAGATGGCAAATCCTCAAGTCAAGAAATAAAATAACAGGGTTTTATTTTCTTTACGCCTTTAACAGACAAAAAATATTTATTTATTTTCACGTTCAGTGTATTTGCAACTTTAGTAACATTTATTATCATTAAATAATTTATACCAGTGAGTGCCCAACGGCCAATAATCATAGAATATTCTTTTAAGAACGGGGTTTTAGCCCCAGTTAGTTTTAGGAAATTTTTTAGTAATTTTTACTTAGGTTACTGAGGAGTGGACATGAGTGGTAGCTAAATCTGAGATCAGAGTCAAACTGAAATACATACGTGACTTGCTACTAACAACCTAACACTGGCTAACACACTTATTTTTGGAAGAGTCTAGATCTATCTACTATCTAGATTCTAGATCTATTATGATCAGAAATTTGTTGATTTAATTTATTAATAGGCCTAATTATTTGGATTTCATTTTTCTTTTAAATTTTAGGATTTTAGGCGATGTAACCGATGTTCGGTCAGTTACCTGGTGAGTTATGATTGGCCCCTGAGTGTGATGAAATTCACTGAGAAATATACATCTAATTGCCTTAGCAGTACTCATGACGCAACTATTAAAATGGACTGATCAAGTTACGTGGTATAGTATATAGATCTAGATCTGTCTTCGGTTAGATTACTGACTACCAAGTCTACCAATTCAACTTTAAATTTCTGACTCCTTTTGTTTACAGAAGTGTAGAAGCCAGATTTATTTATGAATTTTTATTTTTAGAGTTACGTCCCCTGTTAAAACAAATAATATAAGGCATTATATAAGGGCCAATCATTTTACAAACATGCGAGTGCAGTCTATCAGGCCTATCGGCAACATCCAGCCCAGATTCTATGTAATGTTAGGGCCAACTTAGCGCGAGAAGTCATACTAAACTTTAACTAAACTAACTTTTTGCAAACATTTAATTTTTACATTTTATAAAAACAATTTAATCTTAGGCTCTTATTGTAAAATAAAGGCAATTTTAATACCGATTGAAGTATTTTTTAAATAAATGTAATGTTTGCCGTAAACCGATTGCATTTTTCAAATTATAAAATTCATAAACAAATGCACAACTCAAGAAATTGATGATAGAAATGATAATTCTTTGGATTAGTTTGCTCACGTTTTTCACGGATATTCGTGCCGTAAAGACAGATACATGCCAGATGGAGAAAAACTGCACAAAGACGGTAAATTGTGACTTATTGATACATTAATTAGATGTATCTATTTTATTAAACAAAATGTTTTTAAAATAATAGATTTCTTTTTAAACTTCACTATGCAGAACATTTATAATGTTACCACTCTAAAAAAAAATTATATGTAGCCCAGTTAGGTCTGTATAATCGCGACCCGTTGTCATATAAAAGCCAGACTCAACCCTTATAAATTACTTCACAATTCAGCGGCGCCCCCCCCCCCCTACCCTACACACCTTTTTTTCAGAAAGCCATTTTTTTGTTTTTACGAAACTATTTTTTCGTAACATTTATTGAGCTCGGTCAACGTCGAGTATACCGATCAATTTCTATTACAATGTACAAAACGGCTAAATAGGGTTTCAAACATTATTATACTTATTAAAATGCTATAGTGTATCGTCATACATTTTAAAACCTCACCTTATATATATAGTAACACACTGTCACGAAACTCTGGAACCGTCACCCCTTCTTCCCCTAGCAGTTTGACATCCTTTATGGACGACCCCATTAAATATATATATATATATATATATATATATATATATATATATATATATATATATATATATATATATATATATATATATATATATATATATAGGGCCTATATACAGAGGCGTAGCGAGGGGGGCCGGGGCGTGCAGCCCGCATTTAGGGGGGGGGGGGTGTCACCAAGGCAAAAAATAGCAAAATATATAGAGGCAAGTTTCAGGGGGGGGTGCAAATCGAAAGTTTGAGGGGGGGGGGGGAGTGTGCAAATCGAAAATTGAAAGTGTGTCGCTACTACGCCTCTGGGGGGTGACACCATTAAGTGCCGCACCGGGTGACACCCGACCTCGCTACGCCACTACCTACATATATATATATATATATATATATATATATATATATATATATATATATATATATATATATATATATATATATATATATATATATATATATATATATATATTTATATTTATTTATTTATTTATTTATTTGTTTATTTAGGCCTATTTATTCATTCATTCATTCATTCATTCATTCATTCATTCATTCATTCATTCATTCATTCATTCATTCATTCATTCATTCATTCATTCATTCATTCATTCATTCATTCATTCATTTATTTATTTGTTTATTTATTTGTTTATTTATATATTTAAAGGCCTATATATAGATAGACAAAAATATAGATATAGATGATATACCTTATATGTATATATATATATATATATATATATATATATATATATATATATATATATATATATATATATAATTCAAGAATAACTTCATTCCAATGGGTCCCTTCGCTCCTGGTTCTGACTTCAGTGACCATGAGTTATGTGAGGCAGTGGGGGGAGGGGGGGGGGGGGGGGAATATCACGATGTTTTTTTTTTCCTTTAAAATTCACCCGACGTACACAATTTGAATGTGATACTATGTGTGTGATGAGGGTAGAATAGACATTTTGGCCGAGCCAAGCACTTCTGTGCACGCTCCCTCACCCCTCTACCCCTTTTTGAAATATTTTTTAGGTGCAAAATGAATGGACCGTCATACCCCTAACATAATTTCCTCACAATTCTTTAGTTGAATACGGTATTCTTGTTGACAAGAACATAAACTAAGATGTTTTTCATTTTAAAGTTATATCTTTATTTATGTCAGGTTTTTTTTTCTAAATTGAACAGGGACAATTACGAATAGGCCTTGTCCAATATGTTTTGATATTGTCAGTCAGAGGCGTAGCGGGGGGGGGGGGGACATATGTCCCCGGGCGCCGACCTTAGGGGGTGCCAAAATGGGTTGGAAAAACAAATTGAAAGTTTGAGGGGGGGTGTAAATCAAAAGTTCGAGGGGGGGTGCAAATCGAAAGTTTGTCCCCGGTCGCCGGGAAGGGTCGCTACGCCTCTGTTGTCAGTGATACGACCTTTCACACTAGCAATAATATAACATATGATGTATTACACCAGGGGTCTCCAAACTTTTCAGTCCGAGGGCCGCATTAACTATCAAATTTCAGTTCGGGGGCCAGTTTCTTTGATTTTTCTGAGCGAAGTTCTTCAACCATCACCAACAAAAGTTTTTTTTTCCGTGGACAAAAAGCTCTCCGCGGGCCGGATAAGAGGACCTCGCGGGCCGCATACGGCCCGCGCCGTAGTTTGGAGACCCCTGTATTACACCAATGACTAAATTTATTAAACCCGACCGAAGAAAAAAATTTACATTTACGAGACATTTCAATTTTTTTGAAATACTTTGTGTTTCAGCTGCCAGGGGATCTCACTCTGCTTTGTACAGTCGGCCACAGTGATGGTAAGTTGGTGCCCGGATGTTTGTCACCGGTCTGGTCATTACCCCCCCCCCCCTTCCCAACCCCGCCCTAACGATCCATGGGTCAGATGAAGTAGAGTTCATGTTGTCCAGCCGCCTTTAGTCTCCATAACGTAAGTAAGATACGCATCAGAGCTGGGTGGACTCAGGGACCCTAAAGTCAAGTCCGAACCGAGATCCGAACTCTAGACCTTCTGGCTAGCAGCTAAAAGTTCTACCATTCGACCACGCCGTCCCATATTCTTAAAAAAAACAACAACTGGAGAGCCGACAAAGTGCATAATTAGCTCTTCCTCCAGCATATTTCTAATTGCTAATCCAGAGGCGTAGCGACCCTTCTCGGCGCCCGGGTACGAACTTTTAATTTGGCACCCCCCCCCCACCCCCGGGACAAACTTTCAATTTGCCCCCCCCCCTATATTTTTTTTTATATTTATAATGCAAAACTGCAGCTTAAATGAGCTTTTAATTTTTTCCCAACCCATTTTGGTGCCCCTAGGGTCGGCGCCCTGGGACATATAACCCCCCCCCCCCCCCTTTCACTACGCCTCTGTGCTAATCCTAACCTCATCATATGCGTAAACTTGTAATCTTCAGGGGGTAATGTCCTACCGCAGTATTAGGGGGAGCGGGGAGGAGTTAATATACTGTGGTGATCATGATCTAGGGACAGTGGTGAGGGGGATGTCATATTGTCATTTTGCAGTATTTGATGTGTTATTACACTGAAGGGTGATTGATCTAGAGAAAATAAGGGGGAGGGGGATGTCATATGACTATATTTGATGAGGTGTTATATTTGATGAGGGAAGCACGGGGGTGGGGGTAATGTCCTACTCCCGTTTCTTACGGCCAGTCTGTCTAAGATCCGCACCAAATGCCGAGTTAGGATGCTCGCGAGAAACAGGTGACGTCATGGTTCAACTTGTTTCTTGTCGCATTCAGATAATATATGATTTCTGCAATAGAGAGATCACGTGATTTGGTCACATTTTAACCAAATCCCTTCCCTTTATCCCAGGTAGCACCAAAACATGTCTTACCATAACAACCGCCGTCTCCCATCCCAGTCTTTACGGTAATTAATTAATATAATGTGGCCCAGCATAATACAATATTACCGACTATATTAAGATTTGACGTCATATTTCTAAATACTCACCGCCTGTCACACAGCGCCACAATATGCCCCCCCCCCCTCACCGCCCCCACCCTCATAAGACAACTAATATCGTCTTTTTGGATAGCCTATCCGATGTGTTGTTTGATGCATAGCCGGCAGACTAATGAAGTAATTTGTCCTCTTCCGCGTCCAACGTCTACCTCCCATTCATGTAGTCTAACTGTAATATAGAGGTTCCGCTCCACTTTTCAGGACCCATGGTGCTGTTTATTGATCTGCTAGCTCTATTAACTGTACATATTAAAAAGGGGGCTGTCTGCACCCCATGCAGCCCCTGGATTCGCTTCTGCACACTACACCCTCAGTTAAATCCGCAGATCATGTTCTCTTAGTCTTATATAAAGCAATCTTTTGTACGCGTCAACCGAACCGATTAAAACAATGCCGTGTTATTTCTACATAGGTTGGTTGCTTAAACATGTTGCATGTGGGACCTTGGTTGCTTAAAACATGTTGCATGTGGAACCTCGTATTTTGTTTCACAAGATTTGGGGCCTAATAACGCGGACACGTTGTGTTGTTGTCAGGTTTATTTGTTTAATAGAAATGTCTCCAACTATCGTATGTATCTGGCTAATGCAACTCACGAGACTGTTCCTAGCTTCTACAAACCAACTAGCTCTAGTCTATTCTAACGAAGCTTAACATTTTTTAATGTTAGGGTTGACTTGCTGATCTAATAGAATAATTGCTCCATTACTGACATAAAATGAATGTTTCCTGCACAAGTCTCAATTGTGCAGATACAATCAGCGTAGGTCTTGTCGAAGCAATGGCGCCACTAGGTTGGGCGTCATCCGGTGTGGTAACCCAGGGCGTCACCACTTTTCGATAACCATTATATATATATATATATATATATATATATATATATATATATATATATATATATATATATATATATATATATATATATATATATATATATATATATATATATATATATATGATGTATTAAACATTCAGGAAATTTGGTTTTACGCCCATCGCGAATGATATAAACCTGTGCCTAACGACGTGTTTACATTAATAAGGAATTAGAGTAACTGGGAAAGCAGACTTTCTACTACAATGTAGCTAAATTTCGTTTTGGCGTCAACCTCCCTCCCCTCCACCCATTTGGATTGTATCGCCCCTCAAGATCCGCATCCCGCCCCCCCCCCCCCCCCTTTTCATCTTGTGAAGTTACTGTGTCGAAGCTATGTTTTGTAGTAATTGAATACCTTTTTAAAGATGGTAGCAGCTTGACAAGGTTGTATAGTCACTGAAGGCAGGAAATGTGGGCTCTGTGTAGGCAGAGGTTCTAGATGCTGTAGTACAATGTAGGCCTGTGTAGGCAGAGGTTCTAGATGCAGTAGTACAATGTAGGCCTGTGTAGGCAGAGGTTCTAGATGCAGTAGTACAATGTAGGCCTGTGTAGGCAGAGGTTCTAGATGCAGTAGTACAATGTAGGCCTGTGTAGGCAGAGGTTCTAGATGCAGTAGTACAATGTAGGCCTGTGTAGGCAGAGGTTCTAGATGCAGTAGTACAATGTAGGCCTGTGTAGGCAGAGGTTCTAGATGCAGTAGTACAATGTAGGCCTGTGTAGGCAGAGGTTCTAGATGCAGTAGTACAATGTAGGCCTGTGTAGGCAGAGGTTCTAGATGCAGTAGTACAATGTAGGCCTGTGTAGGCAGAGGTTCTAGATGCAGTAGTACAATGTAGGCCTGTGTAGGCAGAGGTTCTAGATGCAGTAGTACAATGTAGGCCTGTGTAGGCAGAGGTTCTAGATGCTGTAGTACAATGTAGGCCTGTGTAGGCAGAGGTTCTAGATGCAGTAGTACAATGTAGGCCTGTGTAGGCAGAGGTTCTAGATGCAGTAGTACAATGTAGGCTCTGTGTAGGCAGAGGTTCTAGATGCAGTAGTACAATGTAGGCCCTGTGTAGGCAGAGGTTCTAGATGCAGTAGTACAATGTAGGCCTGTGTAGGCAGAGGTTCTAGATGCAGTAGTACAATGTAGGCCTGTGTAGGCAGAGGTTCTAGATGCAGTAGTACAATGTAGGCCTGTGTAGGCAGAGGTTCTAGATGCTGTAGTACAATGTAGGCCTGTGTAGGCAGAGGTTCTAGATGCAGTAGTACAATGTAGGCCTGTGTAGGCAGAGGTTCTAGATGCTGTAGTACAATGTAGGCCTGTGTAGGCAGAGGTTCTAGATGCAGTAGTACAATGTAGGCCTGTGTAGGCAGAGGTTCTAGATGCAGTAGTACAATGTAGGCTCTGTGTAGGCAGAGGTTCTAGATGCTGTAGTACAATGTAGGCCTGTGTAGGCAGAGGTTCTAGATGCAGTAGTACAATGTAGGCCTGTGTAGGCAGAGGTTCTAGATGCAGTAGTACAATGTAGGCTCTGTGTAGGCAGAGGTTCTAGATGCAGTAGTACAATGTAGGCCTGTGTAGGCAGAGGTTCTAGATGCTGTAGTACAATGTAGGCCTGTGTAGGCAGAGGTTCTAGATGCAGTAGTACAATGTAGGCCTGTGTAGGCAGAGGTTCTAGATGCAGTAGTACAATGTAGGCCATGTTTCTTGCACTACATTGCCATGTCAATTTTTTAAAGGAATTCGGTTGTGCCTCGTATGCTTGGGTGCACTGATTCAACTGTGTGTCTCATGATTGGGTGCACATGATTGGGTCACTGATTTAATTGTGTGTCTCATGATTGGGTGCACATGATTGGGTGCACTGATTTAATTGTGTGTCTCATGATTGGGTGCACTGATTTAATTGTGTGTCTCATGATTGGGTGCACTGATTTAATTGTGTGTCTCATGATTGGGTGCACATGATTGGGTCACTGATTTAATTGTGTGTCTCATGATTGGGTGCACATGATTGGGTGCACTGATTTAATTGTGTGTCTCATGATTGAGTGCACATGATTGGGTCACTGATTTAATTGTGTGTCTCATGATTGGGTGCACATGATTGGGTGCACTGATTTAATTGTGTGTCTTATGATTGGGTGCACCGATTAGGTTGTGTGTCTCATGAATGTGTGCACTGATAAGGTTGTTTGCAGTGTTTCTTCCAGACTTTTTTCTCGGGGGGGGGGGCACTTGAAATTTTCGGGGGGCGAGGCGGTAAACTTTCTTCGGGGGGGGGGGGCGGACACTGTTAAAAGTATATATTTTCTATATAAATTATATAAATTTCATTTCGTTCGGGGGGCGGTAAAAATTTTGGGGGGGGGGGGGGGGCTTCGCTCCCCCGAAGAGATGCCTGGAAGAAACTCTGGTTGTTTGCCTCATGATTGAGTGCACTGATTAGGTTGTGTGTCTCATGATTGTGTGCACTGATTCAATTATTTGTGTCATAATTTTGTGCACTGATTCAGTTGTGTGTCTCATGATTGTGTGCACTGATAAGGTTGTGTGTCTCATGATTGAGTGCACTCATTAGGTTGTGTGTACCATGATTGTGTGCACTGATTAGGTTGTGTGTACCATGATTGTGTGCACTGATTAGGTTGTGTGTACCATGATTGTGTGCACTGATTAGGTTGTGTGTACCATGATTGTGTGCACTGATTAGGTTGTGTGCACCATGATTGTGTGCACTGATTAGGTTGTGTGTACCATGATTGTGTGCACTGATTAGGTTGTGTGTACCATGATTGAGTGCACTGATTCAGGTGTGTGTCTCATGATTGTGTGCACTGATTAGGTTGTTTGTCTCATGATTGAGTGCACTGATTCAGGTGTGTGTCTCATGATTGAGTGCACTGATTCAGGTGTGTGTCTCATGATTGAGTGCACTGATTAGGTTGTGTGTCTCATGATTGTGTGCACTGATTCAGGTGTGTGTCTCATGATTGTGTGCACTGATTCAATTGTGTTATATCTGCTCAGATTCGTACACACTAAAAGTAAATTTTTAAAATGGGCAGGTCTATCTTGTCCTGCAATTTAAAAAAAAGATCTTTTAAGTTTTAAAAACAATGACTTATTATTTCTTCTAAAAAAAGATTTAATAACCTATGCCATTTTGCTTATTATAATTGTTGCCTGTCTATAAGTTTTAGCTAAATTAAAATATTTTTTATTGATAATCGATAACCGCTAACAATGTTTTTTTTTTCACACGATAGAGACCTGTGCCGAATTTTTAAAAAATCATGCTGGTATATAAAAATAAAATATCCCAAAAATATATTAGCATTGTATCGACCAACTTGTGCCCACCTGCCCGTGCAAGCCGAGGGCATATCCCCCCCCCCCCCCTCACCTGTAGACAAGTGCTGGAGACATGATTAGCTGGTCCAACATTCAATCCTATCGACCAAGGAAGCAGAATGGATGTGATCTCAACCGTGACACTACGGTCTACGTACTACGGTGTACACGCCTCATTGGTTTCATGCTAACACAGACGTCATGAACTTACCTCATTACCTCACTTACAGATTACATTATGGACTTATCACCTCACTTACAGATTACATTATGGACTTATCACCTCACTTACAGATTACATTATGGACTTACCTCATTACCTCACTTATAGATTGCATTATAGACTTATCACCTCACTTACAGATTATATTATAGACTTACCTCCCCACCTCACTTACAGATTACATTATGGACTTATCACCTCACTTACAGATAACATTATGGACTTACCTTATCACCTCACTTACAGATTACATTATGGACTTACCTTATCACCTCACTTACAGATTACATTACGGGATACCTCTTACTTTATAATAGATCCATACTACGGAACTTATATTAAACGTAATATAACACAGGTTTCTTTTAGACAATTATTCAAGTGGAGCAGGGCACTTAGAACATCCATGCACCCCATCTCCCCCTCCTCGAGAGATGCCCGAAAGAGACCATAACTAGAACCTATCTTGACACACAAAGCAGTGGGTTGTTTCCATCTGAACCCGTAAACACCTCAGGCAGATGAAGGCATCTCTCAATGTCCCGTATTGTTACGGTAGTTAAAAGTTTTCTTTAGGGAATAACTAGAGCAGTGGTTCTTGACCTCTTTGCAAGTACCGAACCCCACCAGTTTCATGTGCGCATTCACCGAATCCTCAATAGTTCTATCGCCCGCACTGACAAAATCCAATCGTCAAATGAGTCGGGTGTATGTTTTGACCGCTACCGAATCCCGATCGAACACCGGTTAAGAACCACGGCTCTAAAGACGCATGGAACTTACACAGTAAAAGGATTTAGGAAAGTTGTGTTTTTTTTCTATACTAGAATGCAAGATGGCCACTGCCAATAGGCCCGAACAAGTGGCAAACGACGGGCCGCTGTGGTTGTATCCGTTCCTGTCCAACATTTCTATCTACTCTCGACCTGATCCATACAGCGATGGAGTAAATAGCTTGAATTTTACCTTTCTAGTTCCCAAACCAGGTAGGTGCTCCAAACTATAGAAACACTCTGATTGTTCCAGAACACATATGTTTGTTATTATTTTTTCGCGTTTTTGTTAATTTATGTTTTCATTGTGTTCGTTTGTTGTTTTATTACTTAAAAAAAACAACAGTAAAGTTTAGCCTGCTGACGTATATTCGGAATTTGTTTACGTAACTTGTGTACACAGGATCTGGTGACGTCAGAATAGAAGGCGTCGTGGCCGAGTTTCAGGAGGCCTCTGACCGCGATCTGAACCCGTACTACAGCTTCCAAAAGCCGCCCGTGTGTCGCTACTTCAACTGGTCCTGGCCCACCACCAACAGACGACTTCCGCTGCCCGCCCAGGTGAGTTGTTTGATTCAAGACTTTAGGGCCAGTCTCGGCATTGTTGCACCCAGGGCGGACTTGGTGCTGGAGTGAGGGGGCGCTGTGTGTGTGTGTGTGTGTGTGTGAGAGAGAGAGAGAGAGAGAGAGAAAGAGAGGGAAAGAAAGAGAGAAATTATATAACACTAGCCTACCTACACCACAGCATATAAATGTACATCGAGCTGGTAGGGGGTGGTGGCGAATTTAAATTTCCATGATGAGTACCTCTAAAACCGTATCGAAATACAACCGTAATACCATCTACATTAAAGCGTAATTTTCACCAGCTTGTGCCTCGTTAGTTAGACACGATTAACACCAAATCGTGGCCGTGTGGATTCAACATTAAGCGAGTGATAATCACGAGAATCCGCCGCCACATTGACACCCCGCTGGAACTTTTTTTTCTGTTTGATAATTTTTTTTTTAAATTCTTTCAATACAATCAAGAAATATTTGACCTAGATGACACCAACTAACTAAGACACTGCTGTTTGTTGAACCACATCCGGTTTTCTAACTTCTGCTGGAAAATCCTACTTTCATTTTATAAAAGTTCTTTCTACAGAGATTAAAACAAACTTTAAGCCCTTCAATACCTGCTATTCATAAACCAATGCACGGATAATTCACCGACATAAAGAGTTAAAGAGACATAACGGGTTAACCGAACACAAAGGGTTAATGGGACCAGAAGTAAAACCACTAATGCTACATTGCATTTTGTAGCTAAAGATTATTGTATTAAATTTGAGCAAAATTAAGTCCTTTGTAAACAGTTGTAACGCTAGTTCGTTTTATTTTGGGTGTATGAAAGCAAGAACTCTTGCAAGAAAGCTAGGCCCTGAAAGATGAGAGATTACATAATACCCACATTATTTCAAGAGCCACACCCTCCCTTTATTTTGTTACTAGATCTTACCCCCCCCCCCCCCCTCACCTCACACCGAATGTCACAGGGGCCCACCGAATGTCACAGCGACCCTTAAAACGTGTGAAGGGCCCTACTGTATAAAGTCACAGGAGCTTAGCAGCGAAGTAAAATGACAATAAAGATTAAAAGAGCCCAACGTTCCAATCGATAGCACCATGTGGATTATCAAAAGATCACCACCTCCAAGATCATTCGTTACACTTGGATGATCTTGTAATTATACTTGTGTGATTTTGTATTTATAGGAGTGTATCAACCACATCAAGCAAAAAGCCGATCTATTTATTTTCAAGACCCGATACTTTAACACAATATTTATTGATTTTTTTTCTTATGAATTCATACAATTGAATCCTCAATGCAGTTTAACAAGATATATATATATATATATATATATATATATATATATATATATATATATATATATATATATATATATATATATATATATATAAAATTCTTTTCTTGGAGACCATAGAAAACACCAAGCTGTAAGCGCGCCTAGTAGCCCCCTCTCTTCCTCTCTAAGCATATCACTACCACCCTCACTCCCACATGGTCTGGTGAGCTGTGGTTCACGCTAAATAATTACAATCGTAGAGCCGGGTTTAGTGACGGCTATTAGGGGCAGATAATTTAGTTTAAAACGATTTTAAACTTAGGGGAGGTAACTAAGAGGAGGTTGCTTTCACGGGGGGTGGGGGGGGAAAGGAGGGGGTTATCGTCCTTAACGAGCTACTGATAGTGTTTTAAAGCAAATATATTCAGTGGTAGCATTGGTACTGTCGAATTCACAAATTATGAATTACTGAAAAGTAGACAATAAAACAACTAAATAGCGACGTATGATACGCCTAGCGGCGTATGATACGCCGCGGGTCGGCTCGTCAGTGGCGTAGGCAGGGCGTAGCCCCCCCCCCATAGACCCATCGGTATATATATAAAAAGTATGAGGGGGGGTGCAAATCGAAAGTTTGAGGGGGGGTGCAAATCTAAAGTTTGAGGGGGGGGGGGTGCAAATCGAAAGTTTGAGGGGGGGTGCACATCGAAAGTTTGTCCCCGGGTAAAAATTGGAACCCCCCCCCCCCTTGAGACGATCCTGGCTACGCCACTGCGGCTCGTATATTATATTGGTCTGATGATCTTAACCTCAACTTCGTTGCAACATTATATTACCTTTATGGATCTACATTTCCTCGCAAATATCATTGTATCGTTTGTTGAAAAGTCGTTCTTCAGTACAGAAGAATCTACCATCCGTTGGATCATCACTGTTTAGGGGTTTCACTGCTTAGTTTAACAACTTGATAGATCAGTTCATTCTCTGCAGGGTGTAGGAGGGGGTAAGGGGGGGGGGGGGTTTGGAATGTTTGAGAGGTTGAGATACTAGGCGACCTGCTGAAAATTAATTTATTTCAAGACTTCTTATCAGCAGACGTCGCGGTGGTGTGTACTTTTTGATCACGTGATGCTGATGACAACACACACAACACACTGATGTTGACACGGGTGTGTTGTCGGCGCCACACACTTGCCTCACAATAAACCACACTCGAACACAGACAAGCGGACAGTCTCCATCCATTGCCCCCCCCCCCTCACACACACACACACACACACACACACTTAAAAACCCCCACTTCGTGAAATATTTTTTTCTGATCGTCAAGGAAACTTTCATTTTAACTTGGTAATTTAGTGTTTATATTTATAGTAAAATTAACACCTGCGTTTGTTTTAACGAGACAAGCATTAATTTTTTTCTGACCCTTACTTTATCATCCTGCCTTACTTTTATTATCTGATGTAACTTTTATTATCTGATGTAACTTTTATTTTATTATCTGACTAATTTGTATTATTTGACTTAACTTTTATTATCTGACCTAACTTTTATTATCTTATCTAACTTTTAATATCTGACTTAAGTTATATTATCTGACTTAACTTTTATTATCTGATCTATCTTTTAATATCTGACCTAACTTTGATTTTGTGACCTAACTTTTAACTGACCCTAATTTTATAATATGACTTTTTTTATTATATGATCTAACTTTTATTTTATTACCTGAGGTAACTTTTATAATCTGATCTAACTTTTAGATCTGTCCTTAATACCATTTCATCTGACATAATGTTTAGAATCTGACCTAAAAACTTATTTCAGTGGCGTCACCATTTGGGTGTCACCCTGTATGTTTACACCTTGTGTTACTCACCAGCAACACCTCTGCATCTCCCCCCCCCCCCAATCATACATACACCTATCCCCACCCACTCCCCCCAGTCGACATGTGGTAGCCTAATTAAACCTTATACCAAAGGATTTGATCAATCCGTTTTATACATAACTGTCTCTCTATACCAAGAGGCTACTCCGCTGAAACTACATCATCAAGGCTACACCACTGGACTACACCATCAAGGCTACACCACTGGGCTACACCATCGATTTTTCGTGAAGTTACATAACGGGCCACTAATTAGGCCACATCCAATCTAAATTTTTACCCGTTCGCTATAAAGACATAATATTTTCTCCATGATAGAAGAGTCTCTGTCTTTAAAACGTAACCACCATCACTTCAACACAAAATCATATTAAAAATAGGACAAAGAAACAAAGTTACGCTAAAATATCGCACTGATACTTCTCACATTTAAATCACGAGCACCTGTTGCTGCGTGACGTCATCAAGTCTCAACGGTTTATTATTAACGTTTTATAAAAGCTGAATTAAAGCCTAATAAATTGGATGAAACAGCCGTCAAAATTAGACGCTCCAAACTGAAAAGGGGACGCGTCGTTGTGGGACAGATTTTGAAGTGTTCGGGCGTCTCTTTGTACCGGTGTAAATTTCTATTTTCGGGATTTCCCAGAAAATTGCGATTTCTAAAAATAAGTAGTGGTGGTTTGTTTCACGAATGAAGATTTAAGTCGATTGATGTCTCTGCTTGCCCTGTGTTAGTGGCGTCCGTCTGTTGAGATGTGAGGGATAGAAAACTTTTTTGTATAGATCCGAATATAAAGATGTTATCACTAGATCTATAGGATGCTACGGGGTAGGGATAGATGAGCCAATCTCAGGTATGGATGGGCCAATCTCAGGTATGGGTGGGCCGATGTTAGGCATGGGTGGGCCGATGTTAAGTATATTAGGACCTTCCCAGATTTTCTGAATCCGCGCAGCTGTTTCTCTTCCCCCCCCCCCACTTACAAACACAGGGACACACTTTTGTCATGCAGCAAAAAAAAGTTATCGACTAGAACACAAGCTCATACGTATTTAGTGTAAGATGTTGGTTGTGTGAAACAAAGGGTGGGGGGTGGGGGGGGCGCAATACAGTAGGGTGGTGCACACGTGAGAACTCAACATTTGTTGGTTGTAGTTAGCGGAGTCAGTCGTGGGTGTGGATGAGTCGATAAAGCTCATGGTTGCTAAACCGAAAAAGTCTCGAGTTCGAACCCTCGGGCAGATGAGGCTCGTTAGCTGGGGACAGCCACTCTTTTAGGAGAGACAACTCCAAAATCAAACAACTGCTGCCTTGTAGTTTGTTCTTGGTTGGACAAAGGCTATGGAAGCAAATCCAAAAAGAAAAGCAGGCTGAAATCGGAGTCAATGGCCTCAATGGCGCATAACCAGTTGACACGTAATCCTTAATTGTGATGGAAGCATGGTCGAGTCGGCAAAGCTCATGGTTGATAAATTCGAAAAAAGTCTCGAGTTCAAACCCTCTGGCAGATAAGGCTCGATCCCTCCCAACACGAAAAATTAAGAACGAAGAAGAAGAAGGGGTCGTGGGTAAGGATGTTGGAAATAATAGGCGGAGTAAGTCGGAGGTGTGGATGTTGGAAATAATGGCTCGAGTCAGGCGTGGGAGTTGGATGTTAGAAATAATGGGCGGAGTCAGGCGTGTGTGCTGGAAATAATGGGCGGAGTCAGGCGTGGGTGTTGGAAATAATGGGCGGAGTCAGTCGGAGTTGTGGATGTTGGAAATAATGGGCGGAGTCAGTCGTGGGTATGGATGTTGGAAATAATGG